TTTCTTCTTCATATGTAATACGTAAACATGAATATAATGTAAATTTATACAGAATTATGTCTGTCTTTTATGACAGTGCAATACGTTTCCAGTTAGCTATGAAAAGAAACCTTTTAAGGGAAATATCTATGGCTCATATAGATTTATTTATGGTTGTAGACAAAGAAACCGATAAAAAAGCATGTATACGAAGTTATTGTGTATGAAAATCTTGATACACGTCTATAGTCCAGTATTTACTTATTAAATAAAAATGAACTAATTAATCTGATTGAATACTTCTCATAATTGATCATTTGGTCATAGGATTGTAGAGAACAAGAACACGAGTGAGACAATCGAATGTATTTGACACGAAATTACAGAGCATCTCACTAAAGTCTCAGAACCATTTAGTAACTAGTTAATTTATAAAATATCAATCCATAGTCTCAAACTTCACTGTTCCTTTTGCAAATATCGGTTCATTGTCCCAGATTTCATTGTTCATGCATGTTCATACCAATTGCGTTCCGTTCCCGTTCTACTGAAATACATTCTATGCCTGACCGCCATTATATACTACTTATATGAAGGTTTGTGGAGATCATGGTAATTTTTAATAGTTGAATTCATGAGTCTATCGAACCTGGACTACCAATAAAAATTTAGAAGCACTGAACAGTCGTTTTGTTCTAGTATGAGATTCTTCAAAAGTGCTCATCCACAATCCACATACAAGATTTTAACTCATGACCTTCGGTCTAACTTCAGTCGATCCATGATCTTGTGCAACCTTTCATTCATTATCTGTAGTGGATAACTGTCTCACACTCAACACGGATTGAACTCCATTCACTGATTGTCTAGCTTAGATCGGCTAATGAATTCAACTATTAAAAACATTTTCATTCGTCTCTGTAAATATTTCCTCTTTAGTCCAACTGACACCATTCAAATGACATAATATGAATTATTTATATTCAATAAAATTATATGTACACAGTGAAATTATCTTGAATAGCTACAAAATTGAATAGAATTAATTTTCAACCAATTTTCACACATAACCATTCGTTTGTATGATTGGTCGAGATTTCAGTGTAGGATGGATAGAAACACATCTATACATTCTATTTATCGAAACTTTAATGGTACACACTTTTAAAAGTGTTTAAAGTTTCGATATTCTTACCATATACTTTGTAACTTGTAGCAATGAAATCTAAGTAAAATAAACACTTAGCTTGTAGATAGTATTGTAGTAAGCACATTCCACTACTGTATTATTTATCTGTTCACTATAATTTAGACACTTGATCCACCATGTAATTTTCTGTGTGAGTCTGATTGAGCACATGTCTATTTTTAATCTATTCTGCCATTGGTTGTAATACACAGACAATCAATAATTTGTCCATACTTGATTAACACTCAAAAATATATATGGATTTTTAACACTCACACACAAACTCTTGGTTTCACAGTGTGCTTGCTTCGTGTACGCTTGCGGATTTTATTAATCTTTAAAAATAAAATATCTCTACAACTTTTGTTAAGGCTTATGAATAATCTCGAGTAAATCCATAACTCTACTAGGAGATTTAGCCAGCGTTAAATATTCAACTGACGGGATATCATTTAATGAAGTCAGATATAAAGGAAATTAGCCTCTACAGTATTCTTTACTGATTGATCATATTTATAGTAATATTGGAAATAATGAAGCTCTGGAGAGTTGTCTCTTGCTACCATAGGATTCCTCAAATGCTCATATCCATGTCCCAGCCAAAGATGAAATCCAGGAACTTTAGTTTCTATAGCAAACGCTTATTCATTAAAACCATTAGGTCTGAATCCATAAGGTATCCTCTAAATGTATATTTGATATATACAACCAACAAACTAAGTGAATGTTCACAAACTCCTTTATCGAAACTATATTCATTTAAAAATAATAATAAGTATACTTATAAATTATAGCAGTTTGATAGCACATGACTATTAGGAAACACACATATATATTTTCATAATGTAACATTACATTTCGTAATACTCAAAATATCGGACAATAAGCTGAAATAATCATAAATGATCAAATGTACAAACAACAGTACTAATTTTGGTATACATTTCTTATATGAACAGATATAAGTAGTATGTAAGAGTAATCGAAAGTTTAATGATTATCAATAGAAGATTGAAATAAAGAACAATCACAATGATAACAAAATTAGAAGAATCGTGATACAACTCAACAAAAAACAGATATGCAAATAATGTACTCAATGTATAATTTTCATATATTCTACTAATTGACTGTGTAATTTTACATGAAACAATAAATTAGTTTATTGTTTTATAGTTTTCATTCACTATGTAATTAATGAATGCTGGTCAACAGCCTATACTCCATTGAAAGTAACAAGTATAAGTAAGTAAGTAAGTAAGTAAGTAAGTGAGTGAGTGAGTAAGTAAGTAAGTAAGTAAGTAAGTAAGTAAGTAAGTAAGTAAGTAAGTAAGTAAAGTAAGTAAGTAAGTAAGTAAAGTAAGTAGGTAAGTAAGTAATATAATCAATAGAATAATGTCACTATTTATGGGTTCATTTATATGATTTTTTCAAGATTATATTTCCATGTCAATAAATTACCGATAGTTCATTCATTTACTTTAATTAGATTACTCTGGCGACATTTATTGTCATTACGATTATTATTATTATTGCACATAATTGAATTCAATTGTAAATGATACTTAGTTTTACCAACAATGTAATAATCTTTCATAAATTGATATCAGCATAAATATAATCTTTTTTTCATTATATAAATCAGATGAATACTGAATATATAGACATAGACAATGTTGTGTCTATATTATTGCATACCAATACCTTTGTATTTTCAAATCATAATTTTTTTATTCTAAACAAAGTGAATTTATATCATCTACATGTACTTATATACTAATTAATAGTAGTTATATAGTGAACAAGAACACAAATAGGGACAATCGAATGTATTTGAACACAAAATTATAGAATAACTCACTAAAATCTGAGAACCATATAGCAAATACGTCATTTGTAAATATCAGTTCATCATATCCGATTTTAATGTTTCCGCATTTTCATAACAATTACTTTCCATTACTGTTCATTCTTTCACAAACTTCTACTGAAATACATTCTATTTCTCATTATTGTTATATACTACTTATGTGGATATAAGTAGTTCACACCACAGTATATGACATAATCTACTTTTTTTGTACAATTATTAGTCTAAAGCCTTATGAAACAGTTCAATTTAGCATTAGAATAGTGTAAGGTTTATAAAAGTGTCAATGTTAATTTACTACTTTATAATTTAAAAAAATAATATTTTGAGACTATTCGAGTAATTGATGTATGTTGTATCCAATTTGAAAGGTTTTGTATTGGATTGCAAAAGTATTTTAGGTTTCCATTAACAAAGTGATATAGTATTCTGTTCAGTTTCATAAGTCATTACACAAAAATTGATTATATTTTACTTACCAAGAGAATAATAACTTTTCTGACTTATTTAAATATATTTTCATTAGACTTGACACAGATCTGGATCAGATTCTTGCTTGGGTTGTGAATTCTTAATATATTAGACGTATCATTAGAGATTTATTTTGAGAAGATAGTTCATTTTGTTCTCACGCAGTATGCACATTATATTACACTATACCAGGCATATCCTTCATTTATTACCAACTTTACACGTCCTTTTTTTACTACTGATACTCTACTTTACTTTTGACAAACCAATATTTGAGGTGCCGTTTATTGATTTTTAGCAATCAAATGGTTGTTATTCAGTTTAACCAAAAGTATATATTTGTATAGCAATTATATCAGTTGATATACTGTACATGAACATTTAGAATAAGTATTTTGACTTCAAAAAATTGTATCTGAACAACATATCTTGTTAATGCACCAAGATGCCTTGAAATAATTTGCTAATTTTTATTTAAAGCAAATCAGTTAAAATTATGTATTTAATAACTTATAAACTATAATCAGAATGGAGGTTGTGGAGACTGTAGAGTGTTTGATTATCGAATTTGTGAGTCGATTTAAACTAGACAGACCACCTTTGACAACGTTGAATCACTAGACGGCCGTTCCATGTTAGTATGGAACTCTTCAGCAATGCGCATCCACGAGTAGTTGAGCAACATCATGAATCGATTGAAGTTAGATAGAAAGATCGTTGAATGCCAGTTCAGGGTTGAGCGTTCGCGCGTCAGACCGAAGGCCATTGTTCGAGTCCTTTCGGTACGGGATCGTAGATATGCACTGTTGAGAAGTCCCATCCTAGGACAAAATGGTCGTCCAGTTCTTCCAGGTTTTCAATGGTGGTGTAACCTATATCAACTCATGAGTTGAACTATTAAAATTGTAACCTATAGATTAAATTACATACTTCAACGTACAAATCCCTTACTATATTTTAAGTATAAAAGCGAATAGCCAAATCTATTATATTTACAAACGCGTTAAACTACTCACAAATCAGTAGTCAATAAAAATGGTAAATAATTATGTGTTACATAAAAAATCAGCCTTTTTCAGCAATTCTTTATTTAAGTGCATAATATTGAATACTTTACAATTTCATACTTAGGGATACTTAACTAATAATGATTAATATGCAAATTCTTTTTTTTCAATAAGATCAATTCAATTCAATTTACAAAATAATAGTATGTAATGATGGTGTGATTTATATGAACATCACAAATTATTCAATATAACCTGAGCAGTGGAATCTAGCGTTCGCGTTGCATCTTATTATAGACTCGTCGGTTGGATGTACCTGCGTCTCAGAGATGATGTTCACTCTGAGACTTGGACCCAAAACTGTTCTTTTCAAACGCCATCACATTATCCGCTTAGCTACTGAATTTAGATAGCTATTATCTTGTACAGTGGGGTGGAGTTTAAATTCATTTGTTAACTTTATTTTATTTACTTCTACATCTAGATCAACTTTCCACGTTATCTGGGTAAATTAACTTCACGGAATCATTTGACTGTAATGCCTAGAGATATGCAAGTGTGGGTTACTAATATTGACTATTATGATAAATTGGGTCGAGTGTTACAACAAACATCGTTTAGGTTAGTTTTTTTTAATATTTGTTTGTGGTTTTATCTTAGAACATAATGTTTTGTTTCATTAAAATAACAATTCCAATGAAGATATTTATAATAATAGTGTAAAGCAAAATTTTATAACAACAAATTTACTCATTATAAAACCACAGGAGAAAGATAATCGCCTTTAATTGATTGATGAATCATGAGTATGCCCTACTGAAGGGTCTCTTACCCGGATGTTTATACTTCAAAACAAACCATGTAGAAATGTTTGTTAAATCCTCTAGAAGGTTATACCAAAAGAGCAACCGTTTACATGATTATTTAATCTTATACTGATCAAAATGACAACTATATATATATGATAACGGTTAATTCAAAAACATTTATAGAAATGTTTCATACATGAAGCGGATTAGTTGCTGATTCAAATTTTAGGTTACGAGTATTTCTTGGCTTCAAATTATGGTCAAAATGTAGAATGAATAATCTAGTCACTTTTATGTACATATAATCCAACAATTAGTTTATCGTAAAAACAATGATAAATATGAAAAACGTTTTGGAAAAATAATCCGTTTTAAAGTTGCTATATCAACGAACGACAAGGTATTTCTAATGATATGTTAACCAATCACAGAAACGGGTAGAAATATTAGTGAGACTAAGTTAGATGATCAATGGAATTTAAAAAGTTCTTGACATATTTCTCTTTCATGTCTTGAATTTGTTACATGTGGAATTCAATACTTTCAGGAGTTACCGATTCTCCGTCAGTCCAAGTCCCAATATTTTCACCATAATTAACTAGTCAATATTATTCATAAACATTTGTTTTCAACTTCAATGTGGTTGATTACATAAGTTATGTCATTATTATTATTATTATCATTATTATTAGCTTTATTCAATATTATATTTTTGGTACAATATAGAATTCTCAGCACGAAGTATTTCAACAAGTTTCCGTTTCTTAATTCTTGGTCGATCCTGACGATAAATATTGAGTGATCGCCAGTTAGATGTCAGCAGTCCAGTAAATGAACATCTGAACAATGTATATTCTTTTCTATGCATATTGCCAGCGACCACATTATCTCTTATCCAGCTTTTTGTAACCTTGGCAACGAAAGGTTGTACACTTTTCAGAAATACACAAGGATAGGTTATGCGATTAATAGACATAATTATACATTGAAACAAAAATAGATAACTTGTTGAAATATCTAGATGGCAGGAACAGGTAGCCCAGATGCTCAAGCACGCCGTCGTCTTTCAACTAAAGCTCAGTGTCATTCGTACGATAGATATCTATCTACAGGATTCTGTTTAATTGCTATAATTGATGGTCAGTATTTTTTTCTGAACAGTTTCTGTCTCTTATTCTCTTTATTTAGTGAGTTACAAGACTATATTACATTTGCAATACTTCACAAATATGGAGGATACGTTGATCAAGAAACTGCACAATTAAAGAATAAATTTCTAAAACCATATGCAGGTACTTATCAGAAAATATTGTTGATTTACTATTTCTATTAAAGTTTTGAGTCAAAATAAATCCCATCTTACCACTTCAGTATAATTTTAGGTTAAAGGTCTTCAAACTACTAGTGTGATTCATTAAAAAATGAATTACTAGTATAAGGGTCGTGGAGATTATTAAGTTTTTTGATTGAGATCATGAACCGATTGGTGTTAGACCACCTTTGGAAACCTGGAAGCACTAGACGGTCGTTTCATCCTATTGTGGGACTCCTCAGCAGCTAGGCACTATCACCATTGGATGCCGGCCCAGTGGTCCAGTAGGTTAAGCGTTCGCGCTCGAAACTAAGGTCCCTGAGTTCGAATCCCGCGAGCGGGATAGTGAATTCGCACTGCTGAGGAGCCGCAAAATAGGACGAAACGGCCGTCCAGTGCTTCCAGGTTTCCAACGGTGGGCTAACATCAATCGGTACATTATCTTAATTTAAAATGAATTATCGAACACAGTATACTGATTACTATGAATTGTATTTAAGTCAGTTAATATTACGCTTAACAGTCATGTGAATCAATAAAATACAATTTTTTGTATGCTTCATTCTATCATCTTTATATCGAGTTTCTCACATCTCGATTCCAATTGAGATGAATCAAGTATATGATGCACTAACTATTCACTAGTCTCAACAACAAGCAATAATTTTTTTCTAAAATTTATAGACCGATTTGAATTATGAAATACTAGTTCTTACATTAACTGAAATAAATCGGTGGAATTATACTTCGGAATATTCTTTACAATAAGTGTTTTCAAAGAGTCGCTAGTTAAAAATGTCACAAACTTAAGTCCTCATGAAAAGTTTTATATATATATATATATATATATATATATATATATATATATATATATATATATATATATATATAGAGAGAGAGAGAGAGAGAGAGAGAGAGAGAGAGATTATCACCGGGTCTAATGTATATTCAGTCGCTAAGATAATCTTCACTTCTAATTCAAAAAGTAACTGTAAGCTTGAAAAGTAGCCAGTGTACACAGAACTTTTTTTGTTGAATTTTTTTTCCATTTTAGAAAGCCTTGGAATTGATCAAGTTTCTTATTGGCCATTTTTGTTAGATTTAGCTTCACCAGGGTTACAACAAATTCTTCAAAGTCGATGGAGTTCCATTCAACTCAGTCATGCAATTAAACAAGTAGATAATTAAAAATAATACCTAATTTCTATATTTCTAATCGTAGACATAACACATTGAATCATTTTACAAAATTAACTTGATCAGTTTCTTAACATTATAATTTTTAAATATAAGTACTTTATTACAACATATCAACGATTTTGTCGGTAACAAGTAATAAATTGTTAATGGTCAATTCCAACCTAACTGTGAATCTGGGTGATGTGTGTTTGAAACCCATAGGCCATACTAATTTCCCTAATATCGCAGCTTACATTGCCTATTAATATCACACAGAACGAAACCTATGTCGAGCGGATCTTCCTTACAACTATCTCAAGTCACCTATCGTCTTAAAATATTGTATACAGTATTCAGTGTCTTAAAGTGGTAGGTACACTGTAACTTAGTCGACAGCATTTACTTACTACTAAAGGATTAAACAAATAAGACATTGGCCATTACTAAATAATCAATCAGTTGAACTGTTCGATTATGTTAGTTGTATATTTTAATGTTAATTAAAAAGAAGATTCAATAAAATTCACGTCTAAAGATAGGTCAGGACAGTAGAGAAGTTCCATTTCTTATTTATACTGTATATCATATTCTTAGAAAGTTGACGTCAATGAATAGAATGCCACAAACATTGATTTCTTAATGAATATAATTCATCAGTAGAAAGGTATTCCAAAGTCTTCAGGGTACTGAATGCTTATTCAGAGATTCAGAAATTCATTAATGTTTATTAGAATCGAAGACCAGTTAGCACAGAGTAATTCAGTCTATGGCTATTGTTCTGTAAAATTAAGATGTTCAATTAAAAATTTGCTACCGAATAAAACGATACTATTTACTATTCAATGACAGATCATTGTAAATAGTTATTTTTTGTTTTTGTTGTTTTAAATTTAATAACTAATAAATTGGATTGCATTTGATCAACTATTTGACTGTGATCCATCATTTTTAAAACTATTTTCATATTAGCAATGGAATCCAGAACGCGCGTTTCGTCCTATTTTGGACCCAGTACTATTTGCTTCAAACGTCATCGCACCATCCACTTAGCTACTCAGTCCAGAGAAAAGTTTAAATCTACTTGGATTCGAGTTCCAGAGTGAACACCAACTCTAAGATGCAGGTGCATCCAGCTGACGCATCCAAATAGGACGAAATGAGAGTTCTACATTCCACTGCTAGTCACTGTCCTTCTTTGCTTATAAAGCTTGTGACTTCAGACAATATCGAGGCAGTCCGCACATGATGTACATATCCCAATAAGACTGGTCAATTGCAGTCCTAAATAACAATGGGAAGATACAAGTAAACAACCTCAAGTGAATATTTTCACATTAGTTACATCACTAAATGTTTTCATTCAATCTTTAAATTATTTTTTAAAAATTCTAGTTTCAGAACGAAATCTTAACTCCTGTACAATCGATAATGATTAAGTTGTTAAATAGATCAATGCCTGGAACAACAAAATGTTATCAGTTATTAAATAAGGTGGGTGAAATGATTTTTAACTGGAAAAAAGCCGTAGATTATTTAAGCGAATTGTTTTCATATCCAGTAAAAAACTATATTGTATTTACTATTATTTATTTGAACACAAATGTTTTAACAAAGAGACACCGAATACTTATATGCCACATAAGTCACTTGATTTGTGAGTGGGCTGTGCTACTTCCCGGGTGCCCAGACTGGAGCAAGTGGTTTTCTTAGGGAGCCACACCCGGAGACTTCCAGCTAAAGGTCTGACCCACAAGGCAGTGAATCATCGTAAGGAGATGAAATCTCATGGTAGCCGGTGACCAACCATTGGTTCATACGCCATTTGTTCCTTCAGGATACTGGAACCCATGTTCACCATTGGTTTAGAATTAAAGTTTTCCAACTCCCCTAGACGAATCTTCCCTATCCATTAAATCGGTTAAGGTGTCGGACATTCAATTTCCGTCCTCTTAAATTCGTAAACAACACCCCCTCCGCGTGAAGGTATTTAGTAGGACTTCCCTAGCAGTGGTTGCATACGCGTGGCCTTTTGAGAGCATTTCGAGAGAGAGAGAGAGAATGGACTCTCCCCACTCTCGGCCGTACCAGGTCATTTGGGAGAGAACCATATTAAACGAAGATACTATATCAATATCCGTATAGCTATGGTAACTATACCTTATTACACTGAATCACTCGTGTTTAAAAGTAAAAGTAATCGCTTTCTCATAAATTATTGTTTTGTCAATTACAATTAATCACTGGTTTGTTGAATAACATTTTGGAAATATTTACATTGGCATACAAAACGTCAAGGAAAGTTCATGTTAAGACAAAAAAGTTACCAATTGACCACCCGGTTTCCAGTGATTCTTTAAGTAAAATCAGTTTGTCCTGTGAATTGTTTTTGAACAATAACTATGTTTATCAACTTGATAAAGACATTAAACACTGACTGGTATGCTTAAAAATCAGTCTGACTAATTTTCGTCGCTTACTCTTCTAATCAGGTCTGAATTTAACTGAAGAAACTGCATGAAAATATGTATACATAAGAAACAGTGAAATCAACTTCATTCAGTATAGTTTTTATGAAGATTGTGCAAACCTATTCTATATGAATTAAATACTCAAATAATAACACACTAAAGTTTAAAATTAATGTTGATATTTGTTGTATCCAAATTACTGGATATAGATTCAACAAGTACCCAGATTGACATGACAATTTTGTGAAATTGACTTAGGTTTAGTTTTCAATAATGACGTCAACTAAAGCGCCACTGTATCTTAAATGTTCTAGTGGAAACGATAAAGGAAACAATTCAATAAAGTTGGGACAGAAGCAATTTTTAATGTTGTCGGTTGTTGTCACAATATTGTAAATGAACTAACGTTCGAACTATTAAGTTCCACATCAGTGATTTAAATGAAACGAATTCATATTAAAATCTGAAGGTTTTATGTTTGATTGGGTGTGTATATGTGTTAACATGACCTTATGAAGTATCCCAGTTATATATTTTTTTAAAGTGGTTGACCAGTCCTATTTGATTTTCAATACATATAAACTTAATTAGTATTATTTTAAGTTAGATAACAACATAGCTTGTCCTCAGTATATTTTTAATCTAACTCTATATGTAAACTTCTAAATTTTCCCGACGGTTCTTATGTTAGGGTTTAATGTATTATAAGGTGAATAAAAAAAATAAACCAGAATATATAGTGAATCAAACAATTTTTGCCTACTTACTTTCAGATAAGTAGTATGAAAATTCAACTCATGTCGTATAATGGTCATGATTCGATGGGAGATTTTTATTCTGAGGTAAGAATTTCTCTGCTTTTTTTTAAAAAAAACGAAATATGGTTAAAAATAAGACTTGGTGATATTATGTTGTCTTACACAACAACAAATACTTAAAATGCAATCAGTTGTTAAGTGTCTAAAGGAAGCTTAATAATATAACGTTTGTTGGTTGAAGGCAGTCGACAGGTTTTTCAGTCACTTTCAACTACCTAGCATTGAAAGATGGTACAAGCGACGTCATATCACTTATCCTAGTGTCTATATTATAACTTAGTCATTAGGATTCGATAAGCACTGAAGAATAGACAAGTAAGACATTGCTTACTACATAGTGTCCAGTCGTTGTGAAGTCAACTAAACATGTCTATGAGTAAACTAAGGATGAACTGAGTATACTCAAGCTTCTTTATCAGATTAAACTCAAGATAATCTGTAAATTAAAATGTTTCACATTTAATAACAAACAGTTGTTATGCATATTCAAAGTTTAAACCACAAAAATATTAAATATATACATATTATGGCTTATTGTTTGAAGAAATCCCTTTCATTTTTCCCGTATATTCACATTTCATTTGCAATTATATTCCAGAATTTATTCCCTACATGTCTAGTTATCTGTTCAGGTTCAGTAACATATTCTCTCATTCTAATAAGGATTTAAATTAACTATTTTTTAAAATGGTGTATATTTACGGATAGAAAAACTCGATATAACTAATATAATCATGTTGGATGCTGGTTATATGTACAACCATACTTGCAATGGACATTTTAAACAGGTATAATCTTTCTATGAACAATTATCATTTTATGAGTTCATTAAATTCCAATTACAATTATTGCCTAAAAATCAATTCATTTGATGATATACAAATAAGTGTGTGTAATTCGAAAGTAATTTGTGTTATCGGGTGGAATATGGTGAACAGTATGTAAGTGAGAAAATCAGGAAAAAATTGAAAAATGTAAGTAAAACGTGAACTAATGTACAAAGAACCATATCGTATACACTTACATTTGACAACGACAACAATTAGCCATAACAATCCAATCTCCCTGTTTTGTGGAAAATTTTAGCCGTTTTGTGAAAATTTTGGAGAAATGCAAACCCCCCCCCAAAAAAAAATAGGGGAGATAAGGACAGAACTGACATGAAGACAAACTAATTATCATGATAACTGGAAGTTAGTTGCGTTTAAAAGCATCATCTTGAATTAATGATAATCCAGTAAACTTAATTAAGACTTAAGAGTTAAATTCATGAGTAAGTTGAATGTAGACCACTATGGAAGACTTGGAAACACTAGATGGACGTTCCGTCCTACTATGGGAATCCTCAGCAGCGCACATCCACGATCCCACACCCCGCGAGATTCCAACCCACGACTTATCGGTCTTGTGCGGGGACACTTAACTTCTAAACCAGTGAGCCAGTTGGCATCCAACAGTGTTAATGTCTAACTTCAACCAATCCATGAAGTTGCGCCACCGTCCAACATTATCATTAGTGAGTTACTATCTCACAACAGACCCGGTTGAACTCCACTGATCACTACTTCTTACTAGAACTCCAAAACGTAACTCATGGAGACCATCTCATGAATCCAATGAGTAAATTACTATCATATCCACAAAATCCTTATCGGATTAATTAAAACTACTTTTCTCTCTTTAATTTTTTCTCTTTTTTAATCATAATTCACATATAATTTAATTTATTTGTTAAAATTTCATATCTGATTAAAATCTTATAAAAATTCTATTTCATCCTAATCTACTCATCTAAATTGAAATAATCCCAATTGTCTTATATTCCTATGTATATTTATTTCTCTTTATTTAGATTGCTGTATATTGTTTGCCTTTCTTTTCTTTCTTCTTTCATTCTTTTTTTTCTTGTTCTTTATTTATTTAGTTAAAAATTCAATCGAAACAAAGTCTATTAATACAATTAGTTCAATTTAATAATTTTTTATCACAAAAAGCAATATCTACTGATTTGTCTAAATTAATTCCAGATCTTGGGTAAGTTACATATCTACCTTTTGTATATGTGTATATCTTTTAATAATTATTCATAACTATTCTATTAACATGTTAGTCTCTGTATTGTTGAACATGCTTAAAAAAAAGCGAAAACAATTTTCAATTTAGTTGATAACATAATTAAGTTGAGGGTGGGGGTAGGGGTAGGGTTAATCAATTTTCATAATGGTCATGAAAAGTGAAGATATGATTTCTAATCATAAATGGTAAAATAAAATTACAAAAAAAAATTTGAGTAACATTTATTTGTGCTTTGAGTAGATAGTTAGTTATTTGAAATAGATGTTTGTTTTTCAACCCCTTTTTGTTTCTTTGTAAAAAACTGAATAATTAATTTCTTTATTTATGATTAGTTGAAGAACCTGTATTACTTCACTTTTGTTTAATAATCAGAAATGAAGTTGAACATTTTCATGTTGTTTACTAGTGATTATCTTTGTGAGGGAATTCTTGAAGTTCTAGTGAAAAGTTGTGGTCAGTGGAGTTTAATCTGTGTCGGGTAGAGACAGGTAAAATGGAAGATGGTGAACTGATTAAGATTAAACATCAGCACCGTTGGATACCGACCAGTTCAATGGTCTAAAGGTTAAGTGTTAGCGTGTGAGACTGAAGGTCCTGGGTTCTAATTCCGCAAGCGAGATCGTGAGTGTACACTGCCGAGAAGTCCCATACTAGGATGCGACGGCCATCTAGTGCTTCCAGGTTTTCAAAAGTGGTCTAACATCAAACGATTCATGATGTTATTCAAAAACGTAATAACCTCCAGAACCGTATAGTGACATTTCCGGTTGTTATGTTTTTCCCATTATATAAAATATCTTTAGTGAATAAAAATATCAAACAACAAAGTGTTTCTAGAAATAAGATCATCTCCAAAGACAATAAGTGATTTGTAATTACGTAATTCACTAAACTGAAGTTGGTTTGTTAAATTTTCAATTTTCAAATAGTGACATACCTTCTTTAGTTAGTCAATTATGATCACTGTAGAGTTTGGCATTAATATAGGTTAGATCAAACTAGCATCCTATATAAATACGACAAGATTAAATTAGCAAAGTGTACTAAAATAATTTAGTAACAACTGAGATCAGAAGGATTAAATACTGAGAATACGGCTCAGAAAGATAGGAAAAATAGGTATATGTGAATGAATGTTAAGACTTAAGGTCTGGATCAAGATAGAGAGTAAATGGACTTGCCGCACTATAATTATTTCTGACCCGTGTTATCTAACGTAACTTTACTGGGCGGGCCCCAACCAGGTATTTCTTAACTAACAACATGTTTTAGACTAACGGTCAACGAATTCATGGACAGATCTTACGTCTATATTTGACCGCTGTTATCTCTCTACCAACTTAACTCCATACTGGCAAATTATTATTATTATTATTATTATTATTATTATTATTATTATTAAAAAAAGCTTTATTCAACATTATATTTTTGGTACAACATAGAATTCTCAGCATACAGTATTTCAACAAGTTTCCTTTTCTTATACCTTGATCTATTGTGACGATAAATTTTGAATGGTGACCGGTTAGATGTTAGGAGTTCGGTTATCTACATTTGATTAATGTTCATTCGTTTCAATGAATATTGCCAGCCACCATGATGTCGCTGATTGTACCTTTTTGTATCACGTATAGCGAAAGGTTGTAAACTTTTCATAAACGCGCCTGAATAGATTGTGAGCACAATAGACATAATGATGTGCTAAAACAAACAACAAAACAGATAACTTGATGAAATATCTAGATAGGAGGAACAGGTAGCCCAGATGTTCAAGCAGGCCGCCACAGTAGACGATGGTTGAGGGTATCTAATACATGTCTCAACCATCTTAGTCGATCGATATTTCCACCTCACCTGTTAATTTTCTGTAAAAACTAAGTGGTTTCGCTTTTCTTTTAATTATTCAAATTCATCATTATAAGCATAAAGTTTAACTCTTAAATGTAAACATTCTGAGATTTTCAGATATTTTTAAAAGTACATTTTTTGTAATTGGGTATGGTATTCATTTGTTAGCCCGTAATAAAGACTCACATTTAAATTACATATTAGTTACATAAATCATTCAACTAAACAGTATCGATAAACATGTGTATTTACTACTAATAATAATAATAATATTCACTAAAACATGCATAAATAATTAATAATAGTAGTATTGTTAGTGAACTTATTATTAGTGAACCTTATCAGTTAATAATAGTAATACTATTACCACTACTACTACTACTAATAATAATAATAATAATAATAATAATAATAATAATATGACCTATGTTAGATCCTTAATGAAAACAAGAACACCAATAGTAATAATAATAGTATTATTATTATTGATTGATTGTTTACAAAGGTTTACACGAAAAGTAAACAAAAAACATTTCGTTTAACTGCTGTAATAATAACCCTGTCATTCACTTAAATAAAAGGCAGAGATGAATATTAGTTGTGGATTTATGTTTATAAGAAAAAAAAACATTGTAAATTACAAAGTATTAGGCTGTTGTTTTATCATGTTTCTTAACTAATCAATAAGATACATATATGACTCAGTACAAGACTGAACATAAAAACGTTAGATTCCATGACTAGAACGATAATTTGAGAAGAATGGGAGGGATTGGAAACTGAAGAGTTATGTTTTTGGTGGAGTTTTGTTCTCTGAGCTGGATGGTTTGGTCGTGGAGCTTCCATCGTTCTTCTGATCCATCTGAAGTTTGTGCTGATGATGTCGTTCAGAAGAACGATGAAAGCTCCACGACCAAACCATCCAGCTCAGAGAACAAAACTCCACAAAAATCATCCACTTGAGCTACAAATCTTCTCCACCATCTCGAAGAGTTATGTACAAATGACAATCGATGATTACTACATCATTTAGCAAATAATAAAAAATTCAATTTTGATTCAGTTGTTTTAAATAGATTATGTTTACAAACTGATATAACGATTCCACCTTGAACCTGAGGAAGTTTCGTGAGTGCATATCATTAGGAAGCTTCTTTATAAAAGAAAATGGGTGCATAACATTTCACTATTTTCAACTTTTCTCTGGTTTATGGTAGATTAGGATAATAATCCGTCTTCAAATTTCATGATTATATTACATTTACAAAAACAGTTGTTTAATCCTTACCAAATGATCAGTCAATTCCATAGAATATGAGTAGCAGCTCAAATAACACGGTAGTAATGGCTCGGACGCAGAAACTGGGTGATGTGGTGTCAAATTCCACTGCGAGTATCAGTTCTCTTAAAATTACAGGTACGCCTTAGTGAAGGATGACGATTAGCACAAAACCTAGATTCAAGGTTTTGTTTTGAGCACCTCAAAACTTCCAAACACATTAACAAGAATATAAGTTATTGAAAAATCTTCGACATATTTAAGTCTTTATCAACATATCACGTTACTAGTGAACGATTAAAAAACCGAAAACCCAAAAAATAATATTTCATTACAAGCTTTTACTAACCTTTATCTTGATAAATACTATAAATGACAATACCTTGCTACCGTAGTATTTGTAACCCTTTGATTTTAGTTATGTTTTACGAAGTGTGGGGATATATAGAAAGAAAACAATAAAATGCTTCAAAACACATTTAACACAGATGTTTCCAGTTACTACTTTTGTCGTGAGATTATTTTTCTGAGTCGGGCTGCTGACTTTGTACACAAACTGACCTTAAGACTAATGTAACTCTAGATAGGCAAAAGGCAAAGTGTTTGCACTAATTAATTGTAATCAACTGTACTGCAAAAACGTAACTTAGTTTGATTAAAATTTTGTTGTTTAGGTCCAAGTGTAAATAAAATTATGAATGTACATTAGTTAAGCATATATTATTCTCTATTAAAGCAATGAGATTCTTCAATAAAGATGGTAAATTCACAATAAAAAATTTGTGGGATATTAAAAATACTTCACTATTCAGTCAGTCATGAACAACGTACAACCCAGAATATATGTAGGTCGGTTTGAATTACTGCATTATATTACCATAGTGAGATGCAAAATAGTACAAATAACCGTAGTAATTATATAAGCTTTCTAAATTTCTGTTTGTTTTAACTAGATTATAATTGATAGTGAATAGCAATTGAATGAAGGACTTATATTACTCACGATTTATCACTCTATATTGAGATGTAAATAAATCCCGCTGCCGAGTTTTGAATAGAACGAAATTTATGTTCTGTATTCGCATACTATTCCACTACAAATGTAATCTGTGTTTATGTTTATTTAAACTATTCTAACTCATTTAAGCATTGATAAAATTCTTCATTGAATAAAGTATGGATATGATGACTTGTTATAAGAATAATTCCAATTAACCACAGTCTATACAAAGATGACTAGATTTATTCGGACTGACCTACATAATCAAAATGTTATACAAAAGGGTTAACTTACTTTTCACTGATCTTTTTATGTTTCAGTCTTAGTTCTGGAGGTAGTAAACTTTTTCAGTATATCCCCAATTCTAATATATTAGGTAAGTCTATATCATAAATACATATTCATTTTATAGTATGCTTAAGTGTTTCCTTAATCACTTAGTCTTGAATAAATAATTAGTTAGTTACCTTTACCTTTACTAACTCTGTAATTTGCTAAATAGAATGATTATAATAGTCGTTATATTCTATGCTAGAAGTTTGATAATATAGGAAGTTCGAAAAATAGAATGTTTCTTGAAGGTTGATCGTTGTGATATTCAATGTGATAGTGGACTAATCTTACTGTCCAAGTGACTAAAACTGTAATGACCACTCAACTTGACCCATTCTGTGTAAACCTTAGTGATTTAGTTCCAAAACCTTTTAAGCGTAATAATAGTCCATGTAGAGTTTAGTTCTTCATTAATTAGTTTCAGCCAAATATTTGTCTCAAATTTGTATTAAAATCTTTGTATTTATATACTACAATTTCATTTATAAAGTGCCTTTTAAATAAAAATTACTCAGTGATTAGCTGTAGTATACTGAACTATCCAAGAGTAGTAAACAATAATGAAATAATACACATCGAATAGAAGATATGTTACGTAATAAATATATAATGACATATCGATTATAAACTAACATTGAGTAATTGGAAGAAAGAGGATTATAAACATCAAAGTAATTATTCGAAAATCAAGCAGTTGCTACGTTATATAATAAATAAAAATAAGAAGAAACTAACACAATATTTTGATGAATGGTCAGTAGTATAGTAATTATGTAAAAATCAACAGATGAATGTTGAGAATAAGTAAAATACAAAAATGCAAGAAATGGAAGAAATACAAAAATAGTTTATCGAAATTCTGCTACAAACTCCCCTTATACCGATGGACATGTTAGGGAAAGTAGTTGTACATACTTCATTTAGATGCAAATGTTTGGTTTGTGAACATGGATTGCAATGGCTTCAGCAATGTGAAAAAGATGAACTCGTAAAGTAATAGTTTAATGAACAGTATTTGTGTTACTTCAAGAAATAAAACAAACGTCCAAGTCATTTCAAAGTAATATTCAAAATAATCATTATTATTATTATTTATGATTAGCAGTTTTCAATGGCTTTTTAGCTAGTTTCATGTATGTCTCATAAAACATTAGTTGTTGTTTCATTGGACTATTCTGTATCATAAGAAAACGTCGTTTTGGCAACTAAATAATTGGAAACTAATTGACTCATGACCTCAACTATTAAAATTACTATGCTGTACACAAAACCCCTTCTGATGTAATTCAACACATGCTCACTAAGCGGTATTTCCCGGAGTTCTAGTGAGAAGTTATGACTAGTGGAGTTCAACCAGGTCTGTTGTGAGATAGTAGCTCACTGATGACAAAAGTGGACGGTGGCGCAACTTTGTGAATTGGTTGAAGTTAGACATTAACACTGTTGGATGCCGACTGGCTCAGTGGTCTAGGAGTTAAGTGTCCGCGCACGAAACTTGTAAGTTGTGGGTTTATTGGAATCTCGCGGGGTTCGGGGTCGTGAATGCGCACTGATGAAGAGTCTCATACTAGGACGAAACGTCCATCCAGTGCTTCCAGGTTTTCCATAATAGTCTAGCTTCAATTGACTCATGATCTCAACTATTAAAATAACTAATTATTTCTTTATTATATATTTCAATATGTTTTGTTTTCTTACTTGTATGTTTCTGCAAAAAAGAAATTTCACTTCTATTGTTACAATGGCCTTATTTTATGCCAGATTTATCAATACCCAGGTATGTGAGTAAATGAACATGAATATTTTGTTTACAATTCATAAAAGAAACAATTTTCTTTTTTCAAATAGCTTTTTATGTATTAAAATGTGTTTTATTAAGAAATGAAATTGTGTTCATCATGAGTTTCATATGGTTTATCGAACTGTCTAGTATCATAGATTTTGGTAGAGCTTTGTTCTCTGAGCTGGATAGTTTGATTGTGGAGCGTTCATCACAAACTTTATGTAGAAGTGAAGTGTTCGAATTTCTCCACATATGGCTGATAGCTTGTCGTGTAGACCTCGATGTTGATTCGTTAGTGTGGACCTTAAACCTGTCATTGTTTACTTTTTTTTATTTTGGTTACATCTCCCATATGTGAAGAAGTTCGAACAATTCATTTGTATCTGAAGTTTGTGCTGATGATGTCATTTAGAAGAACAATGAAAGCTTCATGACCAAACCATCCAGCTCAGAGAATAAAACTCCACCCAAATCATCCACCTGAGTTACAAATTTTCTCCATCTCAAAGTAACAACGGTAATAATAATATTATACTGAATATGCATTCAATTTGTCTTGAGTATATAAAGAGAATGTTGTTTTAAGTATGTTTCTGTATGGTAAAGACTTAGGTCGTCGTAATAATTTGACGTAGACTTTTGATTAGATCTATTAAATATGTACTTAGTATTAAATAAAACCATTTTTATGTTATTATAAATTTTTCTTTATTATAAAAAGTGAGGACTCACTTTCATGTAACGAACGAATTGTGATTTCTAATGGAATCTATGACTAGCATTTTGTTATACATTGGACTCATGACTTGGATATACCTAAATCTCATTATTAATGCTTAGATTGATACCTGAACTAAGTACATTTCACTTCAAACCAAATTGTTTTATACACTAGATAAAAATTCATTCTTGAATATCAACAATAAGGTGATTGAAACCCTCTAATCAAAGTTCAGTTATTTATGAAAGCATTACATTGTCATACATTAAACATCAATAACAAGATAACTAAAACAATACAAGATTCTTAACATTCTTTAAAATAAGCAGTCAGATTTTAAATTACAGGTAACTAAAATATAACTATAATGGAAGCTTTTCTATACTAAAGATTTAACTGATCTTATTCAAAACAGTGAATCTCTTAGTACAAAAAAACAACTACAAATCTGTCTTTGACAACTTAGAAAAACTCAAAAATTGACACAGGAATTTAAAAGTTTGAATTCAGTTTATGCTGTTAGTGAACTACAGAATATGTAGGGAAACATAAATAACTACAATTAACCTACTTGTTTACTAGCGATTGATAAATGTTATATAAAACTATGATACTGGTAATTCCATTACTTGATTCCAACGCTTTTATTACAAGCTAGAACACCATACCACCTATATAGATCTCAACAGTCGAGTTTTATTACTAAAAATCTACCTCAAAGTCCAGTACATAAAAGTATGCTTGATAAATGAGTTGTCTATAATTTGAATATTGACCGAATTCTTTTAATATAGCTATATAGATAACCAAAAACGATAACATTGTGTTAGCGGGACATAGACTGAATTAAAGCATTTTTCATGCATGATTGTGTTGGTGTACGCTGATTGACTGTTTCTTATCCAATCAGCGCTAGTCAATACTTGGAGAAGACTCTAGCATCTTCTCATGTAAAAACTATAAATATACTAACGTTTCTCTTATTGTACTTCTTACTTCCATCTACCCTTGTTATTTGTAATATAATTTCTTTCGTGTTCAACAGTGTTCCGATTTTGGGACTCGTCGAGTGAATTGGTGTCCATGACTTCTAAGCAATAAAAATAGCTGGGTCATAATAAGAAAAAATTGTAACACATGCATAGCTTCTTATTAAAGCATTTATATGTTTTAATAAGAAGCTATGCATCCAGATTTCATGCTTATATACATACATCAGTATCATGAATACAGTATTATGTATGAAACAAGTACAAAATGTGTTATAATTTTTTTCTTATTATGACCCAGCTATTCCTATTGCTTAGTAGTCATAGACACCAATTCACTCGAAAAGTCCCCAAATCAGACCACTATTTTTTTCTTATTATGACCCAGCTAGTTCCTCAATAGGATGTATATTGGTATTTAGGAGAGCCCTATGTTAAACCGTTTTTACAGTAAAATATTGAACTACACTAACATTCAATATTGATGAACAATTCAACATTCTATTACTGTTTAATAAATGTAAATGTCTTTTTGTTCTCACATTAGATATTTAAATGTTGGATATTTATGGTATTCAGTGACAAAAATTATATCAGCTTTACTTACTAATGAGAGTAAGTATAAAAATATTTTTTTTTGGAAATCTTCATGATTGTAAAGTTTAAACTCTATTTATAGTTAAAAGACTATTTTCTTATGTAGTTACGGATTTCTAGAAAGTCTTTTTACTAATATATGTACCATTGATTATATATATATATATATATATTGCATATTAGTTTGGAAACCCTCTGAAATACACACGAGTTCACCAGAGATTAAAGTCATATTCAACAGGTCTACTGTAGTTTTTGAATCACTTAAACTACTTAGTAGTATTTGGCGGATCTCACCTATGTCATCTGTAGAAAGATTACTTAACAATCTCAGTGGATGACTGTTGCATTTAATATGGATTATACTAGATTTGAGTATCTCGGCCAATAGGTTATTATTTCACAATTCGTATAAAATATTTGTACAAAGTCATTTGAAGGTCCTATTTTTGATTGCATATGCACTCGACCATGAATGATACGTGCAAGAAAAAGTCATCTGTTCAATACTCTGTTCCTCCAGTTCAAATTAGTTTGTAATATATATGGTCTTTAAATTATCTACAGTTCAAAACCGAATGTTTGAGAACGATAAATTGTTAACCATATAAAAATGTTAACGTCTGTTGTGTATTCAGAAAACAGTGCGTTCTTACATTAAACTTACATTGGTAGTATTGACTTTAGGTTTTTATATCAAAGGTGGTATGTTCAGTGTGTTTCCTCCTGAGAAAAAATTCAATTTTTCATTACTTTAAGTAAGTTTATTCAACTAACTGAGAGTTTTGAATTTTGAAGTGATGTACATCAGTTACAGGGACTCGTATTATTCAGTTTTTGATAACAATCAGTCAATCAAAACATTACAAATACTTTTAGATCTATAAAACAAGTTAGCCACCTTTTGAACTCTGTAGCACAGTGGATGATAGATTGGCATTAAAAGAAACCGGTGCTAAGTTTGAGCCTCATCATAAATGTCAACACTGAGATGTATGCAACTAAGAAATTTCTACGACCATTTTAACAAAGCTTACAAATATATGTTTCTTGGGTGTCGAACATCACTCATGAGGAATTCGAGCTGAATGCATTTCAAGGGGAAATATTTGAGCGTAAACACTGATGAATGAAATTCGGAATTATTTTTTCCGAAATTCCTGTGTACTCTCTAGAAGTAATTAACTGCATTTATATGGTTTTCATAAAAATACCAAGATGAATGGGAATACATTGTTGCTTAGATTTATGTAATCTTATGGTATAAAAAGAATACATTAAAGTTTTTGCATGACTTACATATAGTTATTTACTGACTTTTATACCATTAGTCAGTTATAATCTACTTAAAGCCTAACACATATGATCATTTGGGTCATTTACCATACTAAATTAATGCAATCAGATGAAATCATTAGGACAATAGAAAAGTGGAGATTGTAATTATAATCATAATGATAGAGAGAAGAACTGTGGTTCGTAAAGACAAAATGAAGAGATATTTATAAAGGAATGATTGAACTCAAGATTCAGACTTATATAAAGGGTTAGTACATGTAACTCACTTTGGATGATTGTGAGTTATGTGACTCAACTTCTCTAACTACTGATTAGATTAATCGCTCTGGCCCTAACCAGTTGATTTACATCAACAAACATGGCTCAGGCCAACAAATAGTGATTCAAAGGACCAGTTCCACTCCTTGATTAGAGCCTCCTCTAGTTTTTTTCCTTAACTTATAACTGTTTCAATCATCATTGCATGTAGACGTAAACAACAGTTGTGCATAAGTGATTTATAAAGATTATTACAACTATCCTAAGCTAACAGATGTACATCCAACTGAATGCATCAAATTCATGTCTGTATCAGAAGGGGTTTTGTCGAGACTGTAGTAATTTCAACAGTTGAGATCATGAGTCAACTGAAGCTAGACCACCGTTCTGATACTAATCAGCATATACTCACTAGTGACTGGCTTCAAGAAATATATCTTGGAGTTGTAGTGAGAAGCAGTGACCAGTGGAGTTCAACCGGGTCTGTTGTGAGGTAGTAACTCACTGATGACAATGGTGGATGTGTCGCTCAATTTCGCGGATTAGTTGAATTTAGACATTAACACCGTTGGATGCCGGCCCAGTGGTCTAGTTGGTTAAGTGCCTGGCACAAGACTGATAGGTCCTGGGTTCGAATCCCGCGAGGCGGGGTCGTGGAAGCGCACTGCTAAGGAGTCCCACAACAGGACGAAACGGCAGTCTACTGCTTCCAGGTTTCTCATGGTGGTCTAGCTTCAACTGACTCGTGATCTCAACTGTTGAAATTCATATATATATATGCATAAATAAATAAATTCATTGGTATTTGTTTTAAGGATGCTTGGATGTAAGCATTTTCTATCAAGGTGAACATGATGAATTTGACCAATATGTACGGAAATTCCTCCTGGATTCAAAGTTCATGGTGAGTTATTATTTGTTTTGTTACATTGTTTTTTTTTCCCTTAAAGTTAAAAATTCCTATTACATATTTCTTTATACACTGACACAGAATAATTACTGGAACCTAATAAGATTATTGAAAAGAATTTTTAGATTTAACAGCTGATAGAAATAAAGCCTTATAGTTTAGATATTCAGCTTGAATTACACAATTTCAACGAATAAACATACAGAATAAGTATTCCAAACAAATTAACTTTGTTGTGTGGCTTGTTTATCTGCACTATATTCAGTGGCATAATATTTATTCACTTAACATTACAAAGAGACGTATTCCATCTTGTTTCTATTTAAGATTACATAAGTAAACTATATCAGATTCACTAGAATAATGTACGTAAAATAATTTTAGATGAGAAAACAATATTTATATGAATGCATAATAACACAAAGTTTTACAAAAAAATAATCATTAACTTAGGTTACAAAATAGTTCCTATTTAAGGAGATAAGCTCGAGAACAACAACAACAGTGAATTGTTAGTACAGAGAATCATAAAGGAGATCAGTTCCATATGGCGGAATAGACTGAAAGCATAATAACTAATAAAGAGCAGTCAATTTACTAGTAAGCAACGAAATACCACTGGGGTTATTCACAACTCTCTAATATTAACATCTGCAATGTGGCTCAACTCGACACAAAAAGTACAAATTCAGTCAAAGTTAGTATTGGAAATGAAATCTTAAATATGGACTACACCACTGTATGTAACATTTATCAAATAAACAAATGACGAAATAACTAAGAACGTTCAGTACCAAATACCCGATAAAAATGAAAACTTTACTGATAACCTCAACCTGAAATATAGAAAACATAGATTAAACAAACAAATCTCACAAACTGTAAAAGAAATAACCAAGATATATTTCGATAATGTAATTAGAAGACGAAGATTATCAGAACTATGTGATATATTAGCGCAATACATTTCGAACAATCTGATCACACAATGTACTTGTTAAGAACATTTTTATATAAAAATAAAAGGTCACTTAGACTGGAAATGGTGTAAGAGGAGACAAGAATAATAATAAGAGTAATAATAATAATGTGAACACTATTTGGAACCTAATCACTCCGGCTTATTACCAGGGTAGGTTTAAGGTGAGAACAAATTGTTTTTGAATACACAAAGAGGGTTTGGCTAAAGCTTCAATAAACCTTAGTATACACCCTTTTACACTTTTATGCAACACCACAAAAGCCAAGTTAAGATCAATCTTATGGCCTGTTTCAATTATATGTTTAGCAGTAGAGGATGATGGATATATTTGTTTTTAGACATCAATATAATTACAATTACAGATGGTCAAGATTGCTGAATGCTTTTAATAAAATTCAACTTTAATTCATTATTCACTTAATCATAATTATATACATAATACAATTATATTATCACACATGTACACTTTGAATTCTGTTTTGTTTTAAGGATCAATGGCTAACATGGTCTAAAACACCAAAAGTCTTTAAATCAATTTTAGCTATTGAGATCACAGGTAGAATATATAAAGATTATTTATCGATCAATCATCATAATCAACCAGATTCTAATTTACCAGGAATATTCCTTACACAGAAAGAATTATTTTACCAGTGGATATTTCAAGTAAGTATATCACTGAGTGAATAAAGTAACCGAAATTCTTTGTATCAAATTCATTCCATTCATATTTGATATGTAAAACAATCTCCATGTTTTACTAATATCTACTACTATTGTTCTCATTTAAACCAATTTAGTATTACTACCCAACTATAAAACAGTGATATAGGTAAGAATATGTTAATGTTTTAAAAAAAAATGAACCGAAAACAAGTTGAACTGATGTAAATTTAAGTGTTTGGAAGAAAACTAGGATTCTTGATACTATTTACCTATCTTATTGATAAATGTTAATGAATACGAAAAGATTAAACTTTCGATGCGATTCGGCAAATTATATTTTAATGTGAATTGACAAAATTCATCTGTCTAAGACATCAACCGACGATTATAAATTAAAATAGCAAAAATAGCAAAATATACGAAATGACGATTTCAAATTCCCTATACAATCTATATCGTTCGAAGTAAAGACCAGTGTCAGGCAAGGTTGAGTAGTCTCACGCTTTCTCTTCCTCCTGGTAATCGACTGGATCATGAAGACGTCAAAATGTGGGAGGAAGCATGGAATACAGTGGACAGCTAGGAAGTAGTTGGACGATCTAGACCTCACAAATGATCTGGCTCTTCTATCGCACACGTAAACACAAATGCAGGAGAAAACGATCAGTGTAGCAGCAGTAGGTCTCAATGTACACAAAGGGAAAAGCAAGATTCTCCGATACAACACAACATGCATCAATCGGATCACACTTGGCGGAAACCTGGAGAACTACGAAAGCTATCATCCAGAAAATACAGGTGTTTATTAACAACTGTCTACACAAAATACTTCGGATCCGTTGACCAGGCACTATCAGCAACAATCTACTGTGGGAGAGAATAAACCAGAACCCAACGGGTGAAGAAATCAGGAAGCGCTGAAAATGGATAGGACGCATGATAAAGCACCCAAATGTGTCACAAAGCAATCCCTCACATGGAATTCTCGAGGCCAAAGGGAGACGAAGATCAAAAAACACATTATGCAGAGAAATGAAGACAGACATGAGAAGAATGAACAACAATTGAATAGAACTAGAGAGGAAGGCCCTGTATAGAATGGATTGGAGAATGCTGGTCGACCGCCTATGCTCCATTCGGAGTAACGAGTGTAAGTAATGATATCTATACATTATTCTAATACAACGTTAATCGTATTGTTCAATAACTTTGAAATAGGATTTCGCAGTTATAACGTAGTTTTAATATATGGCCAACAATGGAAGCTATGAAACGCATCTCTTCTTATTTGGAAATCACCAGCTGGATGTACCTGCGTCTCAAGGTTGAATTTTACCCACTAACTTTAGCCTTATTTACTGAGCCCAAATAGCCATTAACTTGTTCAATAAGTGTGAATGTATTACTAAGTGTTTGCAGCTTTACGTTGATATCCAGGACTACGACTGAACATAAATATTAAAATCAAAAGACATCCAGCTGAGAAATCAAAAAAAGAACGAAACACTAGTCCCGAATCCCACTGCAAACCAAATATCAAATATACTAACGTTTACGACACAGTTGTACCGAGCCAATCCTCTCATGATCCACATATAGTAACAGGAACTGATCAATTCCAAACCTGAATATAAACAACGGGAAATTACAAAATCTTACTGATAATGAACTAAGTTGTAAGAGAGAGCTGTTCAGTGTTGCACAAAGATACGTTTTGGCAATCTTATGGTGATATAACAGATAGTTATGTACATTTTTACCTCCCAGGAATACTTCATAAACATCCTATCAGATCAAGTATCCAAGACTCAGAATACAGGACCAGAGTATAATCTAGACAGCACTTCATTCCATACAATTACGAGCAGAAAGAAACATATTATACAATCGGTAGATCATATGTCTGTTTGTCCACGATCGATAACCAATCATATTTTACGTTCACTACCACATATCATATGGCTATTTAGTACATTTAAGAAACAAGTTGGGTGATATCATTTTACATGCCGAGAAAATGAATTTGTTACCTAATGGACAATAAAGTAGTTTCGTCGTTGTTACGTTAAGTTGAAAACGTAGGCTATCAATAAATGAATTGATTTTTAATTGATAACAGGATACAGGAATATAAAATACGTTGAAATACTTTCTAGAACCTTATTTGTTGACTTTAAGTAAGTAATTATATCAAGTAATTGATGAAAATGAATTCCTTCACTAAATTTTTCTGTTTCATGACGTAATATTTGCATGAATTCTTTGCTGAACTTTTTGATGGAGTTTTGTTCTCTGAGCTGGATGGTTTGGTCGTGAAACTTTCATCATTCTTCTGAACGACATCATCAGCACAAACTTCAGATAGAAGTGAAGTGTTCGAATTTCTCCATGTGTTTCACAGCTTGTTCTGTGCACCTCGATGTTGATCGGTTCTTATTGACCTTAAATTTGTCATTGTTTACTTCTTTGTTTTGGTTGTCTCCCATTGATTTGATTTTTGTTCCTATATTTGTGCATGATTTTCCTGATTGGTTGGTAAATTGGATTGATTTCAATATGCTTGTTGATTGACCTGAGTGCCAGGCTTTTAAAAATTCTCTGTTGTTTTTGGAGTTTCCTCTAAGATTTCCACATTTCCACGACCAAACCATCCAGCTCAGAGAACAAAACTCCATCAAAATCATCCACCTGAAGTACAAATCTTCACCATCTTTTCTGAACATATGTCGATATTTTAAAGATTAGACTTAAAGTATCAGATAATGCAACCATGAAGTAAGATTGACAAATTATATTATCTATTAATAATAACGCTGTCAATATTTAACAGTAGTTAAGTAAATATGGAAGCATTGGACAGTTTTCGGTTTTGATCTAGATTCAACTGACTCATGAATTCAACTATTAAATTACTATAATATCCACAAAACCCCTTTCTGAAAATAGCATTTATCAAAAATCTGAATTACTGCGTCCCACACACTATGCATTTTGGGAGAAATCACATTGCGCAAACTTTTAATAATATTTTCTCTGTATTGGTTAATATAGCAATTACTGCATAGGTCCCACTTTCTTAGTGTTATGATAAACAAGTTCATCTATGAAATTTATGAACAGATACATGAGTAATAGGGATACATTCACACTATCAACGAATTTAATCTCTGAAAAACCTTTAATAGAAACAGAAATTTTAAATGAACAACAATTACAAAGTTTTCTCTTTGACTCTTGTTACATAATATACCGCGCCAAGCTGGTCACACATCAACACTTTAAGATTATCATATCAGAAATTGTGGCGCATATATATTGGCGCTCTCTTGTACCAATATTTATGTGTTCAAATAAATAAATATCAGAAATACAGGTCAAATTAGCCAAAAAATAAAAATGTCAGGTGAAAGAACATAAATCAAATCACTTTGGATGCTAAAACAAAATTAATACAAATTTTCTTCTCGAACACATTGGAGTTTTGAGTTTTCGTACAGCCAATGTTTCAGTAAATCTGAGATTATTAGTTTAGGGACCAATGCTGAAAACTTAGTCGCATTGCATAGTCATTCCATCGTAATATGAAGCCCCTTAAAATGTGAATGCACAACCTCGCATTTGGGATCAAAACTCGAAATCTTCAATCTTGAACGATTCAACTCTAAACCACTGAAATGACATCCAACTGTATTAATGTCTAAATTGAACCAATTCACGATATGGAGCAATCAGAAACGGCAGTCCATTCATAACCTATTTTCAATGGTAGTATAAACAAAATCAGTTCGTGATTTAGACTAAAAAATGTATGAAACTATTTGAAACGTTTCAATTTATTATGTAACAAAATTCTGATAACCATCGTTTTCTTATGACATTATGTGTAAGTTGAAAACATAGTTAAACTTTTTTAAATTCCCTTACAAAATTAATCAAATTTAAAACAAACATTGTTATCTTTTCTTTATTTTTAATCTAGCTAATCTGTCCTGGATTCGATTATGCTAATATTATAACGCATAATAATGTTTTACTACATAGTATAGAAGAATGTGATATAATTCGTACAGCTTTGAAATTATCACCGACATTTAGATGGTTTATGGAATGTTCATGAAAATAACTCAACAATAACAACAATAACAACAAAACTTATTTTTATATATTCTTTAAAAATCCAAAGCTTTAATGGATGGATGGATGGATGGATACCTAACCAGAACAGAAATTGTAAATAATAACTTTTTAGAAAAACGAAAAATATCATAATCTTATCGAGTTTATCATGATTCTGATTTGAAGAAACATTCTAATATGAAATTCACATCAATCAACTTTTACTTTGAACTAATCATGTATTGTATTCATCTATTAATTTTCAGGTTAATAACAATTAATTGTACAAGTTTATAATAAAATCAAGTTTCTATTATTAATTCAATTAATCATAGACTTGTAAGAAATACCAGATTATAATGATTTAAAGTGAAAGCATCGTTGAATCATTAAATTCAATATTATTGATTAATTGGATTAAATAATAATTGATTTTTTTTCTTTTTGGAACTGAAATTCAATCAGTTTACCATGATATAATCAATAAAATCTTCTCAATGGGATTTAATTAAATCATGTTAAAATCAAGTCCCGATTTTTCATCAGGTTTGTCTTAATGAAAGAATAAATATATGTGGTGAATCCGCTAATCAAATCACATGAATATATCATTTATCTTGTAAACAACTGAAACCAATTCAATCTAAGGCTTTGTAAATTTATTTAAAAAATTTCATATACAAGTCTACCAAACAGAATCAATTCGATAGTTCATTATCTTCTTGAACAAACAAACAATAAACTGCTAACTACTTGGAACATAAAGATTAGAATATTGTGTAAATCAGTAGTATAAAAAAGTTTCATTTTTCCTCAGACAAATTCTTTGCATAATGATTTCATTTATGTCTATTAATATCACAATAGAAAAAACATAAAATATTGTATATATACACGGAAACAAAAACAAAGAATTCGTTACACATTAATAAAAACAAAATCCGTCTATTGTATTAAATATATGTGATGAGAAATGTATGCATATTCTTTGACTGTGTGTTCTGTTTTAAGATAGTTTATAGTAATTCCGAATAATGTACAATAGAAAGATTCTTCTTATAAAATTAACATTAATCCCCTAAACGCCATTAAAGAGAGAGAAATAAAATAAAGAGATAAACTTAATATGATAAGTCGTGATTGTAATAGAACAACTTCAACATTTTGACATATAGTAAATATAGCAAACTAAATACGAAAACGACCAACTGTTTAGCAGTAAAGATATTTGTCAACATCGGAACTTCCATTTCAGTAAACTTTGTATTGAAATCATTCGGTAATTCTTAGGTGAATTATCAATTAAAGTTCAGTGGAAAATTATAAATAAATGAGATTTTAGGCTTTGTAGATGCTTAATTTGTTAACGTTTAATAAATAAAGTTCATAAGTGGTGAACGACTAATTTTACGATCGTATCTGGTGACTTACATGTTGAAAAGTATCAAAATGTATGGAAATAATGTAGTATTAATTATTATGAGAAACACTAAACAATAAGAATATGGTTCAAAAAGATGAAATCAAAAGGCAGGTATTGAGGAATACTGCAACTCACGATAAAGTGTTAAGGCATCTGCCCTATTAAAACCGATTATGAGTCATGTCACGTAACTTCCCAACTACTGATCGCAGTAATGTTATATTGAGCAGAAAAATCCAAAACATAATGGAAAGTGAGTTCCTCATTCCTTTTACTGCTGATGGTATGAAACCTATAGGAAGGTTAGTAAATGCTGCTTCGATGTGTGATGGATTCAGTGAGGTTAGTCTATTCAACAGTCCAGTCCCCAAAAGTCCTCTACCCACCTGTTCCACTGTTCTTCAATCTTAATGATTCTCTTGCCTTCTGTGTTCTTGATTAATTTCTATGGTTTACTATAGTTCCCTGTTAATTTCCTCGTCGTATCATATACTTGTCTCAGATTGTCTTCTCTTGCAGCTTTCTCCACTGTCATTGTTAACTCTTCCACGTATTTCCACTCGTCGGTTCTAGTGCTTCTCTTCGCTCGTTTGTTTGCTTCTGTGTATTCGGTCTGTGCATCGGCTTTTTTGCTCTTGTTCGACCATTGTTAATTGAAATTTTCTTGTTCCTCCTTTCTTGAATCTTGTCCAGGAATTCGATAAAGATCCATTTCTGACGATGTTTCTCGCAGTCCAGCACCTAATGCACATTGAAACTGGAGCCTCTTTGATCTCTCTCCAATTGTTCTCCACAGAAGTTTCCTCATCAAATAGAGCCTGTAAGGTTTGAAACTTTGTCGCTGAGAGCTGTCTTGAATTCCTAAAGTTTTTCAGTATCTCGAAGGAATGCTGCATTGAAGTTTTGAAACGCTGTTTGTCTAGTGCTTCTTTAGCTTCAGTTTCGTCTTCGTAATCATCAGGTGGTGATCTGAAGCTGTATCAGCTCCTTCCTTTGTTCTCACATCTTCTATTGACCTTCTGATCTTTTTGGTCATTCAAATATGATCGATCTGGTTCTCTATAGTGTGATCCGGTGAGACTCATGTAGATTTGTCTGCGTTTGTTTGAGGATATATTGCTACCTATAACCATTTCGTTGAAGGCATGTACACTTGGAAAGCTCTCACCATTCTCGTTCCCTTCTCCTAATCATTCCATGTCTTCACATGATATCTTCTCGCCCAGTGCTGTCCATTCCAACGTTGGCGTTTAGAATGGTCAGGTCCTTCCCTGGAGGCCTCTCTATGATCGATTGCAGTCTCGAAAAAGCTGATCTTTATTGTCTTCATTTCTATCATCAGTCACTGCATAGCACGGAAGGATGCCTTGATGATCCTAGATGCATGAGATTCCTACCCTGTAAGTGCTTTCCGTGCTTCTTTAGGTAGGATCAGTGCAACTCGTTGTGCGTAGCATTTTCTTCTTTATGATCAGTGAGTGACAGCATCTCTCCTGAATCTAATCTTTAGTGTCCAGTTTGGGTCAAATGCGTTGCATTTATTTCGACAACAGTCAAGTTTCTTGTTTATGTTGCCTGCTGATCAGGTGCTTGTACGCGTTTCGAGTCACGAATGAATATGGTACACCAGAATCATTATCTGCCTAATGTGTTCGTGTTCCGTCTCGCTATCAAGGTAGAAAGGGAAAATTTATCGTGGGTTGATAGGTGTGTAAGTATTTGTCTCGATCGTCATCCCATGGTCACTGGTTGTACAAGAATATAAGCGAAATAAGTTAATGACAGACAAAATACTTATCTCCTCCAACAATCAGAAAACAAATCACATGGGCTCAAGTAATTTTCTTCATAAAATCATATTATGATATTACATGCAATCCAGCTATATGAAGATACATAGAACTGATGTTCTGTATTCCAAAAAACGACAACTCACCTCCCGATCAATCAATTTACACTAAACAGTATACGAACTATTAGTTACACAACATAAGTGAAGGCTATTTATAAGCTAAATCGCATATACTCAACAGAATCAAACTACTAATAATCTTAACAAGCATACCGATATGATTAATTTCACGATAAAAGACTATTTTATCCAATATATTATGCTGTAGTGAACGAGAACACAAGTGTATTCGACTACAAAATTACAGAATCTCTTAGTAGAATCTGAGAACCATACAGTAAATACTTCATTTGCAAAATATTCATCAATTATCTCAGACATTATCGTTCCTTGGTTTCCATAGCAATCACTCTCTGTTCTCGTTCTCTTCTCTTCGATCTTCTCAACCTTCTATCACCAGGCATTCCACTTTCGATTGGTGATACATACTACTTATATATGTCAACATCAGTAGTATACACCACGATACTTCATAAATGATATCACAAGCAAAGAATACATACTCATTAGAAAATATCTCGAAATTAATTCAATGCTACTCAACTCATCGAATGAGTTTAATACAAAACCGAATACACTTAGCAAAAATACAAAGTAAATGAACTTTTTATCATATTTTAGAAAAAGGAAACATAAAGCACGATAGTCATGATAAGTGAACACCAAATAGAAAAAGACGAAATCACAAAGTAAACCGTGAACATTGTGAATTTCAGTTTGCTTCTCCTTTTATGAAATTTGTTAACGTTTTAAATATTGAATTTTGATCTTGTCTTAAATGTTTCATTTCATTTGCAATTAATAAGGCCACATTACGTCCACCGATTATAGCCATTTCCATACATGAAGCAGTTAATTCAATTGCATTTGGATAGTAAACTCTTGGTGCTAATTTGAACTGACCCAAATCAGTATCTGGATCATTCTACGATGATTACAAAATAGCATATGAAAATGATACAATTAGTGTAGAATTTATTGACTTTTAACTGTTTATCATGATAGGAGCACTGACAATTAAGTGAACAATAATTATGTTAAACATCACACAAAAACTACATCTACTTTTAAATTAATCAGATGATCATTGAGTAACGTTTCGCGATATCATGATTATCAGAATTCAGACATTGATAAAATATAGGCTTTATTCGCTGCTCCATTAGGAACAGCATTCTAACAATGATCGAGATGTAATAGAGCCCGCTTGTAGTAGAATAAGTTCAATAATACCGTACTATCGTAACCAATTGTTGGAGACTTTGGGTGACATGGCTCAGAATCGATCACAATGATGTAGGCGTACACACTCTTTATCTGCCATTAAACGGTGAGATTAAAATTGCTTTATATCTCACATCCTACCAACAAATTCTTTCTTCTTGTATTATATCCATATATGCAATCTTTCTTTTATATATTACTACCATTGAAGTAACTACTTCTATGAATTTGGTGTTCATCTTGTTGTGCTAATGAGGTGTGGAAACTTGGACCGATGCATATATGTGCCTGGTCCTACGTTGTTGACTGACAATAATACCGTAATGGTCAATTACGCTTACCATGTACTGAATCTCGACATCAAGATACAATAAAACATATCCGAAGTTTAATTTGTATTCTCATCCTTTCCTAAATACTGAAACATTTGATTGAAACTGTGTTTTTTTCAAAATGTTTATCTATATGTGGAAAACGCATATTTAGAGATATAAAGATCCCAACTACCAACACAACATGATGGGTCGTTATTCAAGTGAAATGACAGAGATAAGCATCTTAGTCTCTCTTAATGTGTTGGTTTCTACATATGAATTCAAGATACAGTGTAATTATGAGAGCTAGTAATACTGTCGGGTCACTCAAACTGAAGTAGGTAGGACAGGATTCGAACCTGAGACATAGTAGTTGAATTTACAACGTCTAAACCACTGAGCTACTACTCCTGATTCCAAGATGAGTAGTACAAATGGATCAGTCGTAATAAAACAAAGCAAGTGTGAACTTTTACTAATCAACAGTTAGTTTAAGGATGAACCTGCAAGCAATGTTCAAATGATATCTGATTCTTGGGTCATTGAATGTACATTAAACGGATTATCCAATCACCTATATTGTTATTTTCATGAGTAACAACATTTTTCAATCAGTTATTCATAAGACAGTAGTCAAAGTAACACTAACTGAAAGAAAATGTATTACATCAAACTGTCACACCGACGGACACCAAACCGAAAAACAATCATTAAACAGTCCAACACAGGTTTAATTTAAAACAATTTAGATAGTGGGTGCGCACTACTGAGGAGTCCTATACTAGGGCGAAACAGCCGTCCAGTGCTTCCAGGTTTTTAATGGTGGTCTAACACTGATCAATTCGTGATCTCAAAAAACTCAAGAATCTCCACAATCCTATACTGATAGCTTAGAATAAGTCATTCAAAGACTATTTGAAATATATAACAACCATCAATCATGACACATATGTTTGAAGAAATATTCTTCACTTCAGATCTAAAACATATAACTGTTACTAGACAAGCAAGTAATACAAAATACATACAGATACATATATTGAATTCACTTACAACAGGATGATAGGTTGGATATGCCAGCCAACGTACAACATCAATTTGATTGTGATCGTCATCTGGATATTTTAAAATCAATTTCGATAAAGCAGTCTTTGGGTCTGGTATGTATTTTGATTCAGAAAATATACTCCAAACACCATCTTTCAAATCTGAGTCTTCTGATTTAACTGGTAAGCGCGTTATAGAACATACAGGATGCTTTTCATTTGAGTAGTAACTTGAGATTGGGAGAAAAGTTGCCCACTGATTGGGTTTCAGATGTTCTAGAAAATTGGAAACATAAAAAGATATCAACTGAAAAGTTAATGAAGTAAAGGTTATACATATAAATAAATTAACACGGAATGGGTTGCAAACACTAACATAATCAATTCTCAAAGCCATAACAGTAATAAATATGAACTACGTAAGTACAACAAACTGTGACTACTTACTTAATGGTAGATCAAATAATGAATAATTGATTTGACCGGATAAAAATGTACGACACATCTCATGATAACGTAAGCTGGGCAGTTTAATATCATCTGAAGTGGAAATATTGGACTCTTGATGTAGTGGTAATGACAATATGACGTAATCGAAAAGTCCCTCTTCAGTTTTATTATTATTGGCTAGATCATAGGATAAGCGTAACCTGAAGCAAATAATTAAGGTTAAATCAAAATAATCACGTAAAATGTACATGTGTAAACAAAACAACCAATAATATTTCTAAAAACTGATAAAAGAAGTATTTTCCATTAATCTGTTAACAATTTACACTTTATCACAACGTATCTCCGATGTATTATCTTTTCTGTCATCGCGAAAACTGTTACTACCCCTACTAATCTCGGGTTTACCCTGACAATTTCATCTCACTGAGCTAATGGATAATGGGAACTTGAACTGATATACACATATTGTGGTGTGAGCTACTTATATTGATATAACTAGTATATAACGTGCATTAAAGGAACGTAATGTCTGGCAGCGGAAGATGGCGAAGATCAAGAAAGGTAGAGCGAGAACACATTGGAATTTGTAAGAAAATGCATGAACAATGGAATGGGAGACAATGAATTGGTGTTTGCAACAGAAACAGTCTAGTTTGGTTTGATGCATGAATATTTTGCAAATTGACGATTGACGATATGGTTTTTCTACCAAGTAAATCTGTAATTTGTGCTAAATACAATTTGGTTGTCCTCACCTGTGTTCTCCTTCACTACAATATGTGCCAGATTGTATGTGGCGTTTGACTAACTGATCGATCTCATTTCGAGTACTAGTGAGAACCACAGGCCACTGGAAAACCGTTTCAACCTAGAAGTGTGCACCCAATACCTCACTAGGGATTGAAACCAAGATCTTCAGGTTTCGCAAACGCCTAGTCATTAGGACCACTGGGTCGGTTCCCAATGATACAATCTCAAGTTTATTTAATTTTCGATGGAAAGCAGAAATCATCCAATGCCATTACTAGTAGCAACTGCAACACTTCCGATATGTATAAACCCCACCAGTCACAACTTCTTATTAGAACTTCAAGCACATCTTGTAGTAACTCAATGGTAAGCTTGGCTAGTATATTGTGAAGGTTAGTTTAATGTGTAGGTAGCATTCATCAAAAATTGATCGCAATAGATTAAATACTAAACTTGGAAAGCCTAGTGCTTATTACTGTAGACGTCAGGCTAGTTAACTGAGAATCCACGAAATAAATACATTCGCCTTATTCTACTAAGCTTGTTGTTCATGCTTTAGTTAAAAAAATCCAATTAGTTAATTATTGGGATCAGATCCAATGGCTCTAATGCTAATATATTCTACTTGTATCAATTGAGAATTTAGTTTTATTCACAAGAGTAAATGTTGAAATATGGAGATTTTGAAGAAAAAAACACTGTTGGATAAGTTAATTAAATTATTCCACTAAATGATAAAAAGCTAACAATGAAAACCGACTTCGAATTCAGAATGTGGTGAAGAACATAATTAAATGTACCTACACTTAGGAAAATACAAAATACTCATAATTAACTGTTATGACTTTATGTCCGGCTTTCTATTACGTGATTTATCCAGCAATCAAAATACAGTGCTACGGCACTGTGCCAGAACCAATGACGTTCAATCGGTATGAGCAGCTTAGCGTCCTTATTGGTCCTATGTCCGCCTAGCCCGTCCACTTGAGATCAGAACAAAAATACCAGCTTCTGCAATATGAATCGAATCAAATCGTTTATTTCAGGCATACTCGGTTTATATATCGACCAGACAGACCACAACGTACCATAAAATAGAAAATAACATTTGTGCAATATTTGGCCAAATGTAGCTGTGAATGTGGGAGGCAGTAGTCAATAAACCGAATATAGCTTAAGAACCGTAATTTGTACAATAATAAATTATAGGTCAAAATAAAGCTTATAATAAGAGGAATATAAATATACATAATCTAATTGTTGAATAGTTACACCATAAGGATATATAGATAATATTAGTCAATTAATATGTCTCAGGAATTACTCGTGATTTAATCTTCGCTCGGATATAACACTAACATCTATGAGTTTAAGGACATTTTTTTGTTTTACTTGTACTACTTCGTAGTGACGATCGTATATTATTACTACAATAACCTGATTGAGCAATTATAAGCTAAAATAGTTCTTACTGAAGTTCTATGTTGGAAAGAGAACAAAAAGGTTACTCGTACTAGGAATTCAGAATCTTTATGATAAAACATCTGCACAATTATTGAAGAAATAGAGTAGTTTGTTTATAGTTTTAATTTAAAACTTTCTTCCATGCATGGTAAACTGAATTAAAATACTACATTTTAGTCAAGCAGTTGGATTTATAGACGAGTTTATTTTTATTTAAAACTTGACTGGCTTTAACATAATACAGTCTTATTGGAGTCTTATTTAGCAGCACAGCAATGACTATTTTACTGACGAAAAACATCTCATTAGAAACACAGGATTACCTATCATTATCGGTTCGTGTAATCTTCTTCACCGTAGCGTGTATAAACTCTTTTGGAGCACCAGAAGGATTGCCGGCCAATGCAACTTCAACTAACTTTTGCGGGATTTGTTCAGCTCCATTTTCAATAGTATATACATCAGATACTGTACAAGCTGAAGAAATCACTCCTATAATTGATGATAAAAACAAAATGATCAAGATTAAAATCAAGGTTATGTCAATGCTTTGCTTTAATATTAGATTATCTACAAATAAAAAATGGATGTGAACAGTATAACTGATAACTTGGAAAAATACAGATAAAATGCTGCGGGTGTATGCTACTTATGCTGACAAATATAGGTAGTACGTAACACCACTCACAAGTGGAATTCCTGGCTGCAATAGGCTAAGACAATTGAATTGAAAAGAACAGGAATGTAAACAGAGAGTAATTGTAATAACGACAGGGACGAAGGAATTATGAAGTTTGTAAAGGAAAACTGATAGAAGGTGAGCAAATTGTGTATGTAATGTTTAGTAAAAATAATGATGTATAAATCCATAATTATAATTATAATGAGAGAATAAAGTTTGAATGTGTATATTTTATACAATCGTTGATCTGAGCAGACAATCAGGATGACGGAGCGAAGAAGAGAGTGAAGTGAAACTAAATGACGCCCAGTGAAGAAAGCGAGTGAACCAACTCAATTTCGCCAAGCGTGAATCGATATTTATAGTCGAACAAAAAGAAGTTACAGACATATGATGAATAGGATAAGAAGTGAACACACATACGCTTATATAAAAAGTCAAAATTCATAAGCGAATAATTGACAAGATCAAAATGTAGCTTGAGGAGAATGGATAAGTTGGTTTGTTTAGAAGTTAGAATAGGTTATGTGGGCTTAACATAGAAGCCGACACTAGAAGGTTGAATAAATGCACTTATTCGACAAAGTCCATATTATGAATTGAAAAAACGCTTATAATATAGCTAAATATTACTTTACTGCTGTATTACGATTTGTACGTTCACCTGAGTATGTCGAGGAAAAGCAAATGTGATACAACAGGACTTTAATCCTTTACGACCAACTTGAAAGGTTTCATAATGAAGATATTCGTGAATCACTACCGAGTAAAATAATCGATAATACAATCTCTCTTCAACACTCAATTCAGATATGGGACGCAAAACCAGACACTTTTGTACAAAACGTTAAACAAGAATATAGTTGTAGTTTAGAACAATCAACTGAAAGTACGTTCTACTGGTATATTTCACCCAGTCTGAGATCTAATAGCCTCAAAACCAAATATTTAAAAACAATATCTATCTGTTAGACTATGAGTAAACGTTGAAACAAATTACACGCAGTCAGTCAGCCACAACGTAGAACTTGTACGTAAGTACATCGGTTCAGATTACTATACCTCATTAGTTGATGAAGTTGTCAGGCCAAATCCCAGAATAGTAAAGGCAGTAGCAGTATCAGTAAAAATAGGGAAAATTAGGCATCAAATATACGATTCGGAAAGAAAATATAAATTAGTGAAATAAAAAAGTTATGAAGAATCTATAATCTCAGGATTTGGGAGAAAACAAAGAATGGATACACATGAGCCATTGTAAACGATTTCGAGCCATGCCATTAATCATGATAATCACGGGAACTTCAACCAGTTAGTCTATACAAATTAACATGGATAAGTCCGATTATTAGTAACTTCGTGAACTGATGCCATGTTTTTGGTTTGGCAGACCCTAGCTTTATTCCAGACTACTCCTCCACTAGACAACATCGACTATCGAGGTAAGCGGTGGTTGGGAATATGCAACAAATGTCCCAAACACCTCGGTTGATGAAAATTTACTACCTCATCAATCGATTTCCCATCTTTACGTAGTACTCTATTCCTCATTCAAACATTGCTTACCACGTGGTCCCAAAATACACGAGCAATGTAGCGTAGACGCCTAAGGGTCAGACACTAGTAACTTATGTTTTACATCCATAAAGTCCATGAAATGGATTGCATAACTATATATAATAGGTAAGAAGTAAAAAATTGAAAGTTGACAGGCATACTTAGGAGTGAAAAGAAATTGTAAAATAGTTAACCTTTTAAACAATAGTTCTACATAAGAAGTAGGTCAAGTATACATAAATAGACATGAAAGTAATAAAGTAGTCAGGTAGTCAAGATTATAAACAAAAGGACATCACAGTAAAATTTAAATAATTTCATAGGCTTAGAAAATGAATCAATTCTGCATTAACTCACCAACAAATGCATGAGCATCTACTGAATTCTGACAATAATTACTCGAAAATATTCCAAACCCTAATTCATTTATATATTTCTCGTCTAATCCAATTTCTTTACGCATCCATTCAGCAAAAGTACACTTTGTCATTTCAGGGAAATGTTTAGATAATTTTTTTAATAGTAAACCGGGTGAAGTGAAACATTCACCACGTTCTTGCAAAGTATAAATTCTATAAATAAACAATTAACAAGATATAATTAGAATCACTTACATTTGTTAGATACAGATAGCTATTGCTATGTCAGTATCTAATTATGTAATCTCTTAGTCATATAAACCACAAAAAACCGCTCAAACTTGAAGTATTGTTATTGATTTCATAGAGTAGTGTGTATTTAATTCCTTAGAAAAAGAATGCAAATCAAGGGTACTCACGAGCACATACCGTTTGAACAAATATCTGATCGGTCCCACTGTATATGACCAATACAAACGAATGTTTATTGGCCATTCCAACAAAATATTACATACCAACCAACGCCTGTTACCCCTCGTAGAGGAAAATAGGCTGCCCGCTAAGATTCTCCAACAAACACTGTACGGGACAGTCCTTCCCATCTGATATTCCTCCCTATGATGTCTGCTTCCAGTTCACAACGAAATCTGTTCCTTGATATTCCTCTTGTTTTCAAAATTCCAAATTAGCGCTGGCCTCATAATGCAGTTTGATGATTTCCACAATATTCTTCACACCTACCTCAAGTGTCTCTCTCTAATTTCCTATTCATCGAAAACCTGGTTTGTTCTCTTCCACAATAGGCTGTTATGGGTGGTGTCCGGCCAACCGAGATTCAGTATCTTCTAAAAATAACTGTACTTTCGTATGATGTTGACAATCTTCTCAGGCACACCACAGTTCCGAAGAAGGCTCCATAAGGTTCTATTATCCACACTATCAAACGATTTCTCATAGTTAATGATGTTCATGTATAGTGACGAATTCCATTCACTTCATTGCTCATAAATGATCTGTAGTGTTGTGACTTCGTCTGTAGATATCGAAGTTGAGAGTTTAGTGAATAATGTTCACTCCGGTTCAACAACACTCTGTTGAAAACTTTTCCTGGTACTCATAGTAGTGTGATACCTCTGTAGCTGAGTTCTCACACTTGCTCAAATCTGCTTTCTTTTGTACTTTCATAAAGTATCCTTCTTTCCAGTCCGTTAGTGGTACTTGTTTCTTCTCCCAAATCCGTCTGAATGGCATGTGGAGCACCCTTACAGTTACCTTCATGTCTGATTTCAGTGTGTAGGCCGGTTTGTTGCCTGGTCCTACTGCTTTCTCATTTTTTATTTGTCTGATGACCATCCTCATTTCTTCCACTGATAATGAGGTGATACCTATAGCAAGGTTGGTAAGTGCTGCTTCGATGTGTGATGGATTCAGTGAGGTTAGTCTATTCAACAGTCCAGTCCTTCAAAGTCCTCTACACACCTCTTCCACTGTTCTTCAATCTTGGTGATTCTCTTGCCTTCTGTGTTCTTGACTAATTTCTATGGTTTACTATAGTTCCCTGTTAGTTTCTTCGTCGTATCATATACTTGTCTCAGATTGTCTTCTATTGCAGCTTTCTCCACTGTCATTGCTAGGTCTTCCACGTATTTCCACTCGTCGGTTCTAGTGCTTCTCTTCACTCGCTTATTGGCTTCTGTGTATTCGGTTTGTGCATTGGCTTTTTTGCTCTTGTTCGACTGTTGTTAATTGAGGTTTTCGTGTTCCTCCTTTCTTGGATCGTGTCCAGGAATTCGATAGAGACCGATTTTCTGCTGTCATTGTCTTCCAGCTTACAAAACATCATATCATGTTATCTGATAAACATATAGATTATTACAGACAGACAGACATCATTAACAGAGAGCCTGGGATAGATATCTGTCGAATCAAGTTTCCATTCCGGATTAGCACGACAAGATGAAAATCACAAGAGGTCGAAATAATGTAGGAGGAATAATAAGAAAACTAAACCTTAGGAATATGGTTATCACGGAAATATGCAAAAAAACTGACTGAAATTTTGAAATCTATAAAATACACAGGAAAAATACAAATGATGAAATGAATAATTGAGCAAAAGCGGAATAATAAGGTCTTTAAAATTAGGAGGAAGATGTCAGTTAATCATAGACAATGTATGTTCTGGCACGAATATTTATCAGTGTAGGTTGGTCATATCCTACTTTATCACCCAGACAACTGCAGTAAAGCGATTGACTGAGGTTCAATTAGCAAAACATCAAATAAGATTTTAAAAAATCTATAATATGATGTAATACTGATGAATTAGACGAATCCAGGTCACATGCTACTACGAGGCCAGGACAGGTGAGGAATGAAAGTATGGGTTATTTATTGTAGGCGAAATACGCACCTACTCAAACTTACTACACATTACATAGATAGGTCCATATATATAATTTATATACACATTCATTCAATCTGTGGCAAAAAAGGTTCTGACATGTTCTTAATCTTATTAATCTGCATACCAAGTTGTATTCATAAGTCATAATAGGTGTGGTCGTGACTTCAGTGTATCAGTACATAATGAGAATAAACAAAATGTAGTATACGTGACATATTAACTGTCTATAGAAGTGTTCTTATAGCCCAATGTTAAACATTCAATAATAAACCATTAAACCACAGTTTTCCACTATACTCCAGGTACTTTGATATAAATAAACCAGTAGTATTTTCAACCTTATTCAATAAACATAACTCAAATTTTAATGCACACATTGATAGGTGAATTGCAGTAATCGTAACGAGTCAACATTTAATTAGGTATATATGTGAAGCGTATCGTAACCTATATATATATAGTGTAATATAGCAGTAGTAGAAGTAGAGTAATATACACCTAATATCTCATCCTTAATATTACATCAGTTAACAAACTTCATAAAATTTATCATTTAAACATCCTTACTGAGTGAATTCTCGAATTCTAGCCATTAGATAAAACTTTGCACGAACCAAGTTGAAACCGTAACGCCAAAATAAGTGAATCGGCGTTAGAAATGCTGTCTGATCAGTAATATTTGAAAATACTGGTTTATAACCTTCTTCAAAAAGAAGTAAGCGATGATCAGCATTTCTTAAAGGAACCAAAGGTATTTCTATAAAGCAAAAACATAAACACTTAAAAGTTTCAAACTATTTTGTTCACAATAATTAATTCAATGAAGTTAGATCAACATTAGAATAAGAATTGAATTTTACCAGATTTGATAATAAATTTTAGGAAGAAAACTTGAAAATTAAATTACTGAAAATGTGATCAATAAAACAACTTAAACTTTTGTCAATCTGAATAGTCGTATTCATGTAACATATCGCTGAAATATATGCGTATACCTTTACATTAGCAAAATAAATACTTTACAGAGTAGGGATTTCTCCTCAATTCGTTACTGTAAGAGATTTATGCTCTAATTGTACTACTTAGATATGATACTGAATGAGAAAATCAAAATGTAAATAAAGTTTGAAAAACACTTTACTGATTTTGGGAAATGTATAATTCATGATAATTAATTTGTAATTTTATGTCTAGTAATCAGAATATTGAAAGAAATTATACATGTAAACTCATCTTAAACGAATGTATGCTGAAGGTCTAAAGTTGTATACTAACTGCACTATTGTTTTCACCGTCAAAGGGATACATTATTGGTATAGTGAAGATTTTATTCTCGATGAAAAATGATCTGATGTGCGGTGTTCAGAAGTTGATATTGATTCATTATCTTCATATAAACGAGCCTAACTAATTACTGAGGAAAAATAAAAACCATTTATTGACTAATCACATGCACTTATCATTTGTACGATGTCTGATTGAGATAATGTATTAAGAAGAAATCAAGTAGAACAGTGTGGAAGTTAGGAATTAGAAACTTTACAAATCTGATGAACATTGTTGTTTGGAAACAGCAGATTAATTTTAACAACTTGGTCGTGAATCCAATTACATTGTTAAAAGATGATGTTCACAAAATATTCAGGAAATATACAAACTGACTTACTGAATTGATTTGCAAACGAAGTCATGTAATGATTACTAGAATGAATAGCGCTAGCTCCAGATTCGCAAGTTTCTCCACAAAAAGGTACCGCTTTGATACGACCACCGATTCGTCCAGATTTTTCAAAAACGGTAATAGAAACTTTATTGCCAAACATTTTTCGTAAAAAATAAGCCGAACTGGCACCACCTATACCTCCACCAACAACGGCTGAAATCAAACAACAGTAAGGAAAATTGTTACCCACTTGAAAGATAAATTGAAACAACATCCATTCTTACTACTGAATCAATAAGCCTAGCAAAAATGAAACTAAAACGAAGAGTTCACCTATCGCTGATCTTCATTTAATCCGAACTAAGTCACCGAAGGTAAAAAAAAAAGAAAATCAGTTGGCTATGTTGTGAATCTTCATTAATTTAGGTGGCTTACGTATATACAACAACCGACTACCTAGAAGTATGATGTTGGTTGGCGTAATAGGTCGGAATAAAGCTAGTAACAACCAAAACTTGGCATCGATCCACGACATTTACTGCGACCATTACGTTCTGCTGGTTTTCCGATCTAAATGATTTGTTAACCTCTTGATTTCTTCATTCTATATGTAAAATGATGACTATTAGACTCTAAAATGCAGCTGTGACCAGTACGAAAGCTAATGCTGCCAAATGACGAGTATGGGAAGGAAAAATGTTTTTGTCATATAAAGTTGCTCAAGGTTCGCTTATTGTTGAAGTATCCGCCATATACACTGGCTCGGATGGAACAGACGACCTTCTTGTACTGTATCCAGATATACTTATCGAAATGCTGATGGTGCTGAGTGTTCAAGGCCAGTCATGATACCTGATGGATTTAAAGTTTGTTACAATCCATTTGATTTATTAAATGTGTAGATATACGAATTCCTACTTTCGTCATTCATTAGAATGTAAACCAATGGAAAAATCATGCAGAATCTCATAGCATGAATAGTGTATAGCTGACTAAACAAAGATGACGAGGTTTTGAATGTCCTGTCAACGTACTAGTGACGACACTGCTTCAAAAGTTCAGTATTCCTAGATGTACGAAAGTGATGTGTGGTAGCGGAAGTAAAAAAAACTCCGCCTGTAACTCTCCTAGAGCTACTGCCGGTCCCAAGCCCGTGTAAAGGAGGAGGGTTTGTCATGGGGTTAGCGACTTCATCCCGTAGAAAACTAATTCGCTAAAAAACGCTAACCAGTGAAAGTAAAATGATTGGTCGTTGAGCGCGGACAAACAGCCACAGCCTACGAACTATCAAATATGTGATTCTCCTTTCCATCACTGATTTTTACTCCGGACCCACTGAGTGTGACTGCTTGTTAGTTGTATTGAATAAAGTATTATCTAGTGTTAATCTGGATCTCCATTTTGGATCGTGAATCCTAATTCTGATATAACGTGACTAGTCTTATTAACGTATCGTAATATACATGAGAAAAAAATATTTTAAACACCCGTTATATGGAAATTATTGAAATTCTTATGTCGCCCGCCTTACCATCATGAAGTAAGAAATTCTCTCTCCTTACATTATCCAGAGGGTAAATTTAGTACGTTCAAAGAACCTGGATTTGGAAAGGAAGCTTGACTATCATGCTGTACACGTCGAAAGATCTGTTTCATTACATTATCAGCTGGAAATTGAGCTAATACTACGTACGACAAACCAGCTGACACTGTAACCACAATTTGATGTGCCGCGTCTGTTGAGAAAGCTGTTCGATCTTTCATCACGTTGATTGTCTTTTTCGCATCTGTCTTGGACTTATAAGGAACATGATTGTGTTTCGTCGGCTGTTTTGTGATAAATTCATACATCATATGACAATGCGACCTAAACATTTTCACTTCGAATACATAATCGTAATTAGGTCCATTACTGTTAAATTTTCGGTTACCTGGAACTGTCTAACAAACTCTTGATCTGTTGGGAATCCAACACACAAATATCCCTTTGAACAGATTATATCCTCGCTCTTCAAAACAGACGTACGAAATAACACAACTAGGGTAATAACAACAGCACTTTTTCTTACCGAATTCGAGAAATTAGACTCTTCAACGTACGTTCAAAAGACTACCTTTTTGATTGGTCGTAAAGTAAAGGGACAGAGGGTAATTCTGACGTACTTCACACTAATAAAAAGGTTATTTGCACTTTTAATGCTCACTTTTTATTAATGCGCGCCATGATTAATGTGAACCGATTATTACTACTAACTGTCAAAAAACGTGAGTAACAATGCTAAAAATCGATCGCAACAGTGTATATCTACTTATACTTCATTTAACCTTGGGGTTCATGTTTAAAAGTTACTTTAGATTTTTCATTCGCTTAATTAATTCTTTCATCTCCAATCAAATTTTCTATGCGTGATTATTCTTATCATCAGATATTTTTTTGGTATTCATCTTGAGAATTTCATGCCGTTGTGTTAACGTGATTTTGCAGCTTGGTTCGATGGAAATTTGTGTCAGGTTCTACGTTATTTGAGCCAAACTGACTGGTCTATCGAGAAAACAACTAGAAACATGGTCAGTGTGCATCATCATGACGCCTCATGATGAATGCCGAGATTCCTCGAAAATCTTGAGGCCGTTGCCTCTTCTGACAACCAGAACAACAATCAATATAGGTACATGGAATGTCCGGACAATGTGAGAGAGCCGAAGGACCAATTGACTCAGGGACATCAGTGGAAGATACATGAACCCATTTCAGGCAGTTATACAATCAGGTAGTTCAACCACATATACCTTGGACAGTTCCACAAAGCACTGCTATCCTTAAATAGGCCAAGATATTCGAGATTTATTAAGGCAAAAGAAATGTTGAGACGTTGCCATCAGCTTTGGCACAGCAATTACTATGGAACGCTATAGGTTGGTAAGAAATAAGTGCATAATTAGAATTTGGGAAGCTCATAGAAAATATTAAATGCAGTTAGAACAATCTTTTGACCCTTTAGACATGGAAAAGTCGGCAGAACCGGATGAACTACACCCCAAAATCTTGAGACAAATCGCACAACATATGGTGGCCCCAATAATTATGATATTCAATGTCATTTTGCCAAGATGTAGTAGGTCGTAGACAGAAAGTAAGAGTGAATTCGAAGTGCTCCACCTGGAGACCAATGCTTAGTGGAGTGCCACAAGGTCTCGTCCTAGGTCCTTTAATTTTTATACTGTATGTAAATGATCTCCCAAGTATGGTTGAGTCCCCGATGTTACTATACACTGATGTAAAAATCTGGCGAGAAATAACAGGAGACACATATGCATACACACATTGAGTAGACTTAAATATCGTGATTAGCTGGTCTAAATAGTGGCTGATGCCTACCAACGCCGCAAAGTGTGTCCACATGCACTTTGAGCATATAAAGGTAAATAGGTACAGCATATGGAAAGTAATTGTACCTGCGGTCCGGTCTCACAAGGATCTCGGGGTGACAGTGAGTCATGATATTAAGACCACGGCCCACTGCCGGAAGGTTGTAGCTAAGGGGTTTAGAACCCTGTGTGCTTTAAGATGGGTATTCACCAAGTTAGATACTACCATGTTCATTACAGTATACGCAATCTTAGTGAGAACTAAGCTTAAAAACTGCGTTCAGGCTGCAAGTCCTTGTTTAATAGATGACTCAAATATCCTGAGAAAATCACAGAGTGCAGCTACCATGCAATTCCAGAACGGGGTTTACCATATAAAAGGCGGCTTGAAAAGCAGGACCTCTTTACTCTGTCCTATTGAAGATTAAGGTGATCTGATTTTAATACATAGAATACTAAGAAATCATTTTAGACCTAATATATTCTCTCTTTCTTCTCACTAGATTGGGACATCTCAGAGGACATAACACGCGAGCAGAGAAGCCAAGAACGAACGAAATACCCGTGGTATACAAGTTTTCATACCGAGTCATTAATTCTTGGAACCTGTTACCCGAAGCAGTGGTGCCCACACCTTCAATTGACTGATTCAACAGAAGACTAGACACTTATAAAAGCACACTAGAAAAGGAATAACATAAGTCGTAAACCTTCAGTCCTTAAGAACTGAAATTTTGGGGAAAAACGCGAAACCTACCCATGATTTTGGGGTTTTATAGTAAATATAGGTCGGTTTTCCCAAAGTGTAATAAGATTCTGGGAAAATTTTGTGAGTTTGGTGTCATTTCCCCAAAACTTTCTATAGCGGATTCCCCAAAATTTGGAGATTGGATTACTACACAAATCCAAATTTGAAATTGTGATGAAAGCATAGTGGTTTGATGTTTGACATGAAGCCAACCTAACAAACATTTTACTAAATCCAGTATTATTCACACGATTGTATTCAGTGATGTTTATAAGAAAAATAATTTAAAAATGACACGACATAAACGTTTATGCCAAGTAATTGACCAAATTTAAAACTTACCAACTTTGAACGGCTGATCCTCCTGCATTTTTGGGACCAGAAAAGAGGAAGCAATTCAGAAGCTGAATCACAACTGAAATAAATGAAACCACAGTATAACTGACTTGCCGGAACGTCGAAAATGCCGCTTTAATCTGATTGGACGATGGATTCGTTAAGCAATTGGTAGGTCGTAGGGATTGCATTGAGCGACGCTAAAGCGACCTTGAGAGTGTCTACCTACTTAAAGCAGTTTGAAGGATAAGGATTATGATTTACAGTTGATGGTTTGAGTTAGGAATTAGATATAGGGTTTTTATCACGAACTGACAACAGCTATAGTACCAGGATTCTACTTAGCCAAACGGGTAAATGGATTTCGCGCCAAAATACAAGACTTGTCATCGTAAATCTAATGAATTCGTCTATAAATTATAGTCTCACCATTTTGGCAGTCACCTAAGTGAACAATCAGGATGAAGTGGGAATTATCATTGCCACCATCTTTGTAATCAATGGCCGTCGGCTTGACTCGTCTGTGCATTTTTCCGCCGCGTTTTGTGTGGCTGCACAAGTTAGTGTTTCAATGTGCTGAAATTCTGAAGTTAATGTGATACTCAAAGCGTTGAAGCAAATTTATTTTGAGTCAGCTTTGTTTCCTCGGTTTTGTTGCTGCTACTGCATTGTATTTCCTCACTCAATCTCACATTTTTGTGTAATAAAATGTTAATCTGTTATGTTTTTTAGTATTATTTTGTAGATATCGAGAACCAAATTTAGTTTTTTTTAGCTAAAATATATATTGCAATCGCTGGGACTCTGACTGCTCACATGTTTGTTCCTAACTTTCGTTTATGATGTTATCGAGAGTATTGAAAGAAAACGACTTCCAGTTTGTTATGTCCTTCAGTATTATGGATAACCCTATTCCGTCAACTAGTCAAACTAATACTGAGTGTCCAGTAGTTGTAGACACAGTGTTGTTTTCAAAAGAATTATGAAACTCAGGCACCTGACAACCTGAGAACAGTTCAGGGATGCTATTGATCTGATGAAGGAGGTTTGTTATTAGTTAGATACCGTATTGTTTTGCCCCCATTTAAGTATTCTAATGCATCTGCGTCTGTTTTAACGGGAAGATAGATAAGAAGAGTTAGCTCCTGATAAACTAAAATTCCCAGTTGCCAAAATGATTTCTTCTGTTTGTCCACAGTCAGATAGTGGGAATATGATAAATATGATACGTCAACCTAACATCCTCGTGATTCGTCCTGTTTTATACAAATTCTAAGCTTTCAACTTCCTGGAGCTTTATACGCTGTAACGCATACATAATCTCACACTGATCGTTTTTTAAGTTCTGACCCTCAAGCACACTAAAAGAAATGAGTGAGCAGCTCTACTTACTAAACTGAGCTACTCCATTATATACTTCAAGCACTATACTTATATCGATTAATTGTATTATACGACGGCCAAGAATACTAAACTAAGGTGTCATCATTATTAATTCATTTGCACATACATGTTAATCAAACCTTTCTCCAGTAGCATTATTCATTGACAGCCCATTTAAAAAACGATTTGATTGAGCTGACTATGACTTGGGATATCATTCCAGCATGTACAGCGTAACTCAGTTAGACGTGGCAAATAAAAGTTATAGACATAATAAAATTCACACCATAATCTAGTTATTTAGTGAAATTTACATCATGATATGACAAATCGTATAACTACATAAACGCACACTAGCCATAATTCCGGTGTGCGAGACATTAGGTTGACATGACAACGTTAGGTATAAAAGCACTTTCCTCAAAGAGAGCAACGCGCCCGGACACTCCAGATTCCACTTGCATCGGTAAATAAATCCCCAAAACAAATAGCTCTGTAAGTTTTCGACATTGGATGCTGACCACATGTTTTAGTGGACTGACCTAGCTGAAGGCGCTCGGTCTTGCATCCGCACCTGATCACGTGTGGAAACGCCGTGCTCAACATTTACTGCAATCGCCATTTGGCAATCGTCAAATACAACTTCTGATCACATCGATTCTCTCTTTTGATTTCTCTTGGTGGGTACGAGTTATATTAGAAGGTGTTACTGGTAAAAGCGTTGTCAAACACTGAATAATTGTGCCATCTTCACACTCAATGAACCTAGCCTCTTGAATTTGCGACGTCTATGATTTAAAACCACAAATAGGTAGACTAAACCAAACCGAAAGGCACTTGGGCAAATCTTGCGGTGACGCGGCTCAGTAAACAGATAACGGCGATTGTCTGCTGCAACTATAATAAGATAGCTGTCCATTTACAGAAAGCACTAACTTTAAGCATAGAAAAAGACATCCTACAACACGAAGACCTCTACAATGGACTCAACGGTTGACTCGAATAAACCACATTAATAGTAGCCATCACTGGAGAGGCTCTATAGAAAACTGTCACTCATTCTGGAGCAGATGTTTAAGCACGAATCATTTTCTAGTCCAAGCACGTATTGTCTGGACGTAGGAAAGTTACAGGAAACAAACACCTTAAAGTTCAGTTTTATGATGAAAAGGTTAAAAGTTTATTTCGCAAACCACTTGAGGAGTTGGTCAACTATGAAGGTTATACGCACCTTGAGGTAGCTTGTCATGATATCCAAAAAGCTGTGGAAAAGCAGTGATATCTACAAGTAACTCAGATCGAAAGGCTAGGAGAAGTCAGTAGATTTCAGCCGAATCTACTGAACTGATAGATACTCAGGAATTCATCCTGTCTGTCTCCGGACATTGGGGATGTTAGTCAACCCTGTGTATTCAGTGATATTTGTCTCCTAAGGATTGGTGAAATTCAGTGGCAAAATCCCGTCAATAATGACGACTTTCGACAACGTTTGTTCAGGCAGGGTGACGACACTTCAGTTGATGCCATAATTCTGAAAATAGATTACGTTCTATGGGCGTGTACTACAAATGTCGCCGCAGTGTATTCCAATCGCGCCTTGGTTGCTTACCTCTGGACTGATTGAAGAAGGTGGGAAAGTGATATAAAATAGAACTGTATATGAATAAAATTTGTCGTCCCTTCAGGACTCGCTAGTTGGGGTCATAGAGATTGGGCAACACAATGGCACGAGTAAGCGCATGTTAAGCATCGCGGAGGAGCATAGGATGCCACTAGGATTCTCCAACAAACTCTGTCTGAGACAGTCCTCCTCAGCTAGCTTGTTCTTTCCCACAATAGGCCGTTACTGGTGGTATCCAGCCAACCGACATTCAGTATTTCTTACAAACAACTGTTTATAAATTTCTGTACTTTCTTGATGGCTGTAGATGTCCCCCAAGTTTCAGCTCCGCGAAATAAAACCATCTGACTTTAGCGTTGGCTGACAGTTGTTTTGGGTTTCATACATTCTTCACCTGTAGAAATTCTGTCCTTGGTTTGACAATCCTCCTTTTCATCCGATCATACGACCAATATATATCGGCTCCCCACCACTTTAAGAGATTCTCCATCAGTTGTGATTGGGTTGGTGTTTCCCCTTGTTGCGTTTCGGAATATCGCCTTTTTCCTCATGTATGTCTAAGCCTAATGTTGTATAGGCTGATGCTTCGTTGGCTGCCTTCATCTGCATTTGTTACTTTGTTTAGGTTAGATTACGCAGGACAAATTTTGATGGAAAATTCCGGTGGGTAGCCCATGCTCCTTGACGAGGTATAGGTATGATTTTATTATTTTGTAGTGTTATGTTATCTGGTTTGCTTGTAAATAAACCACACATGTGTGAAATAGACGACTTATTCAGTGGAAGCTGATACTCTTGTACTGGAATCAACGGTCAGGACTAGGCGAAAGTTTACTATCTTGATGACCGTTAAGGACTCATAGTTGTAAAAGGCTGTCAGTGCTCGTTAACGCATTATTAGTTTTTCACAAAAACAAAGTAGCAAAAATCATTATTCTGATCGGGGATTTATTCAAGTGATATTTGACTGGATCGTAAGTCATAAAGCACACTCATTTATATTTTCTTGCATCACGTCTTCTAGTCGTGTTATTTTTTAGTCCTATCGCTACTATTGCTGCCTTTACCACTTAGGGATTTAACTTATGAACTTCATTTCTATTTACTTATTATGCGTTGTAACTTGGAGCGATGTGCCTAAGTGCCAGGTTATACACTCGATACTAACCGACTGATACTCAATAACTGCATTCACGTGACACAATCTAAAGATAATTATATATGCCTACCTGTGGAGGTCTGAGGTTTCATCGTCTTCACAAATACAGCCGTGATCTGCCTCCGAGCTCGTTCCTTAATACTTTATATCACTTCATCTAATGACTTTGATCGTAGCGGCACCGACTCCGGATTCCCTTTGTTTTCTGAGGACAACCCTCTAGTTCTTGAATAACAAGTCACCCATGAGCTATCATAAGGATGACTGTGAAACATCCTGCATGAAATATTTTTCCCGTCAAAAAGCTGTCTAAAATATTGTATAGAAGTTTAGAAACTTTGTCTCGAAAGGGCCCGTACAATTCGAGGTTCTAATGGTCTTTCATTCAATCTTAAACTTTGTGGTTTACGATCACGAAAAAACGTACACCGAAACAACACAAACATGTATTTAAATTGCCTGTCGTTCGAAACACTATACTCGACATAAATGCAGTGAGTGTGCGTAGTCCGAGAAAAGATAATATTATACTCCTGTTGTGTGTTAGAATTCACTGAAAGCACTTTAGAAAAACAGTTTAACTTTCGAATTCTCTCCAACTTTCGACAACCTTCCAAATATATCCGCAAACTCATTCAAACCTGTAGTAACTGGTCGTACGTCAATCCCACATAGGTTGTTCTAGCTTCTCAACAGACTAATATATTCATTCTTCTCGAATCATATTTGACCTTTCCATTTGTTCACTTACAAAACCTGACTTTTTATACGAGCGTATGTGTGTGCACTTCTTATCCGATTCATCACATATCTTGAAATTATTCTTGACTGACTATAAATATTGATTCACGTTTGGTTAAATCAAATTGGC